TTTGGCTTTTTGAAGATTGACAGAGAGGTTGCAAACACAACCTTTTAATTGGTTTTCCTTCATTTTTGGGTGCTTCATCTTGAAGTAGCCAGGACATGATCAGAATTAGTGAGAAGTTATAGTTTTGAACTTGCTCTGAGCAGCGCACGGCACAGGCAAGCCAAACACTTGCAGATACCCCTAGCCCTGTGATTCCGTGGAGGCTGTATCCAGGAATATGGACAGAAATGCAAGAGTCATAGCATGGGTTCAGTGTGCTTGTACCTGTTGCCCTGCTACGATGTTGAAGCAAGCCCTGAGAAGGTGGCGTTGCCTTCTCCCCCGAATGAGTCACACCTGAGCTGTGTGCTGTGTCCAAACTCTGTGGTTCATGAGGATTTTGACAGAGGAGGCAGAGCTCTCTCTCTCTCTCAGTTCAAGGAGGGGAACTTACCCTTTATCTTTGCTGAATGCTTAACTTTTTAAGTATTATATGAAAGAGGTAAGAAAAGTTCTTGAAATAAACAGCACAAAAGAAAAATTCCAAACCTGACAAAACAGACTGGCCAGAAGAGCCACATGCCAAGGAGCTAATAATGAAATCCTTAGTGTATACAAAGTATAAAATATATTAATCCCTTGATATTTTTCTCCAGTTTACTAGTAGGAGGGAAAAGAGTTGTTTGATGAGACATTTCAGATGTTTCAAATAGCAAATGAATATAAAATTGGACATTCCATGTATTCAAATAACAGTAACTGTAGTCACAATGTGTTGTTACAGTTACAAAACCTACAACTTAGCATGAAGAAAGGGAAAGGGTTATTATTCCATTTGAGCTTAGAATACATTTTAGTTGTTTTGCAGGAACTGCAAACATAATTAGAAACACGTGTTAGCTACATCATTTCTCCAAAATGCAGAGATCCTAGTCACTGCTGAAATTGAGTCTTTCCTAAGAAGCCTCAAGTGCTTCACTTAATAATGATTGTAAGTAATTGATGTTACATGGTAATTTCTTGGTGGTGACTTTTTTGATCTTCTGTGCTTATTTTGTGTGCTTTTTTTATCAAAAAACTGTGAAGAGTTAGACCAATATTCAGATTCCATCATCTATTTATTTTTAAGATTTGGCTGAATTTTATTCATTTCTGGAGAGTCCCGTAAGAACTTAAGAGCCTTGAAATTTGAAATGGGAAATGTGCCTAGAGTTCTTATTTATATCATATTTGAGTTAGAGAAAACTTGTTCTGGAATTTCAGATGAGTTCCTTGCTGCATTGTTTTGAGCTGACTGTCAGAAAGAATTGAATATAATATGATAAAATGGAGAATGCCCACTCCAGTTAATGCAGAGTGAAGAGGTGTTAATAAAGTTAGGGCCAGATGTCACTAGTTTTGCTCACATGGATGAGTACCTCATTTATCAGGTGGATCCTCTCCCTTCTTTATCTATGGCTTTAATCTCTATTCCTATTCTGACATACTATCTTTCTTACAAACATCACTATCCACCTTCCAACCTTGGAGAGACCACTGTGGTCTTAGATGCAGGGGCTCATGTGCCTGAAATCATGCTGCCAGGATAGAAAAGAGGTCCCTCAGATAGTATATAATCTCACTTAGTGCTCACATTTTCTTGGAATTTTCATTAGGAGATTTTAAAGACAGGTCTGGTGGGGAACTGTTGGTAGCAAGTGGATATGAACTTGTAGAGAGAAAAGTTTTTCAGGTGTACAGAAGTGTTATTTAAGCATAAGTATGTTATGTTTTTCTCATGGTCTCATATATTTAAATGATTCCCGCTCAGAGACAGAAAATCTACCTTTTCCTGCTAGAAAAATACAAAGGATATGTCCTTCCCTTTCAGATTCTCTGCAATATTTTCTTCCACATTTTTTGTAATTGGACAGAATTATCCAGCATTTTACTTCATGGGATTTTTCACTGATTGAAGGAAACAAATTTGCTTTGGAACTTGGGTTTGGATTTGGTTTTGTTTTGTTATGTTTTGTTTTTCTGGTAGAAAAGCCAGACTTCAAATCACAAAGCAATATAAAAAATTGCAATAAAGTTAGAAAATTACAAGGGTAATTTAAGGGTAACTTAATAGGGTAACTTAAGGGTAACTTAATATGGTAAAATAAACATAACAGAAATTTTACATTAAAAGGAAAAGATTCAAGTAAATCCAGCAATAAGACACATAATGCTGTATTTTAAATGTAATTGCTTTTATGGGAATATGGGGAAACAGAAAGTAGAAAGTTGCCAGGCAACCATTCGTTAAAAGACAAATCTTTATCCAACTTTCCAGTAATTCTACATTTAGATAACGAAAATTTATTCTGATTTGTCCAGATGATCTATCAAGGTTGAGTTGTTTGAAAATGTCTGGGGTCCCAGTTCATTATAAAATGAGAAAGAAAATCTGAGAAAAGCAATATACATTAAATACAACTGACATGGAATGGGACTGGAAGACTCAACAAGTTAAGAATATTTATCTGACTATATTCCAGACTCCAAATCTGAGATCACCAGTATAATAAAATTACCTCAGTTCTTTTAAGAGCATTATGGTTAACACAGGACTGAAAAAACCCTCATCTTCAATTGCCATTTACAAGCCCTTTTTTCCTCACTTCTCCCTCTTCTCACTCACGGTGTTACTTTTCAGTGTAGCAATGTAATTACACTGAGGACACCTACATTTCACCTAACCCAGCAATTTGAGAACTTCTGAGCAATAAAATGAACTATGAGTGCATAAATACTGTTGGTTGTTTTATCATTAATGTGGGACAAGCCACCTTGAAAGAATTACGTATCTTTATATCAGGGGCATAATCTTTTGTCTGGTTTTATCATTACAATTAATACAATTTTTCTAGAGTAGGATCACGTTTGCTTCCTTCTTCCACAAACTATTTCTTCCCCTCGGTTTCCTCTTTCCCTTCTGTCCTCCCAAGAATCTTGGAGAAAACAGTATACCAGGTTTTAATAACAAATCCTGGGAACCAGGGTGGCCCAGTGCAGTCTCTTTGATGGCTCTCCCAATAACTCTGTGGTAATGGGAACTATCTGGTGATGAAACTTTCCAGGAAGTCTCGCTGCCTTTGACATGTTGGTATGCCATCCATGCAGCCTGTTGTGTGTAGTCCTCAGTGCTACAAGTCTTCACGATGCACAGGACCAACCTTCCTGAAGTAGAGTTCTTAGCTCTGAACTGAACTGAGTAATTAGGTTTGAAATCTGTAAGTTTATGGACATAAAGAAGCAGACACAGCCTCCAGAACAAGCAAGTTTATTTCTGTGGAAACATTGGCGTAGATCTGCAAGGAAAACCTAAGCAGTAAAAAAAAACAAACGTAACTCACAGGTACAGATCAGAGTGTGGGGAAAGCACATTAATGAGGCACCACACAAATAGGACAACTGTATCTATGTATGAGGCTAGGGAAATAAATGGGTTGAGAAAGGGAAATATTTTCTTTCTCACAGAAGACCTAGACAGAACTTTGAACTTAAGTGAACAGTATCTTTGATCATAGAGAATGCCAAAAAAAATATTGAGAGCTGCTTATCTTTAATCTCATGCAAACAAATGAAAGGCCTTCTATTCTTAGGGTCTCAGGGAACAAAGATTGTCTTTGCTACCATTAAATATTTTGAAACATGTTCAAGAATACTTAAACAGTTATCAAGAAAATATATACTTCCTTTGGCATATTGACATATTTTTTATTTACATGTATTTACACCTTTGGTGTATTCTGCTTCTTGGCCATAGGATTAGTTCTAGATGGTTTCTTCTGAATATTCTGAAGGTTGAATTACAACTGCCAGGATTTTCTTGTTGCTGTAGAAATTTCCCGTCTTATTTCAGGAGACCTGCCTAATCACATTTCTTGGCAGGGTCCCATAGATGTTGCAGATTTGACGTGCTAGCCATGGGCTTTTATAGAGGTGGATCAACTTATATTTTTCAATTGGATTTAGCCTGTTTCTCCCTACTTGTGACCAAAGGAGGGGAAGAAAGGCTTTCTAAAGCAATATCACACAGGAATAGAGTGGCCAGCAGGACCAGAGCAATGATTGTTCAACTGCAGTCGGCACTGGTGAGGCTACACCTTAAATCCTATGCTCAGTTTTGAGCCCCTCACTACAAGAAGGACTTTAAGGGGCTAGAGTGAGTCCAGAGAAAGGCAGCAGAGCTGGGGAAGGGTCTGGAGCATCAGTCTGATGAGGAGTGGCTGAGGGAGCTGGGGGTGTTCAGCCTGGAGAAAAGGAGGCTCAGAGTAGAATTTACTGTTCTCTACAACTACCTGAAAGGAGATGTAGCCATGAGGTCAGTGTCTTCTCCCAGGTAACAAGTGATAGAGTAGAAGGAAATGGCCTCAAGTTGCACCAGGGGGTTTTAGATCAGATATTGAGAAAAATTTCTTCAGACTGCCCAAGGAAGAGTTTGAGTTACTATCCCTGGAGGTATTTAAAAGACCTGTTTGAACTTGGTGTTCGGGGCAGATCTGCACAGGCATGTAAGGTAATCTGTTCTGTTGCCTGAGGGTAATCCAGTTTTAGCCTAGCTGCCTAGCTCCTCTTTTTTTTCACAACCCTACTGCCTGCAGAGACACTTACAGCCTCAGTTTTGCCTGTGCAGGCCAGTGAGTTTATAGCAAAACTGAACCAGTTAAGCAATGTGGAAAAGAGGTTACTTAGAGACTGAGTTCAAAGTCAAGACAGAATTATCATTAAATATTAATACAGTCAGAGAAGAAATGGCACAGTACTGGTAGTTGTGATGGAAACATTATTTATGTTCTTATATTTATGCTTTGAATTTTTATGTAAACAAGCATTTTTTTATCTGTTTATTTGATTTTGTTTTGTATTTAATTTGTTATGTTACCAAAGTCTGTATAAATGGAAAGGCTGCCAATTACAGTTATAAAAAGTTGCAACAGAATGAAAGTATTAGTGCTTAGAAGATTTCATAATTGTCTGTTTGCCTTCCATAGCTATTTTCTGCTGGAAAAATTACAGACACCAGAGTTGCTGAGCTGAAGGAGCAGTACACCCTGCTGCATGAGGCTGTGATAAGGTATAATACTCCTTTTTAGACTTTCAGTAGTCAAAGCATTATGTTTAAAAATATTTTCTGCTCATGCTGAAGCTTAATTAACATTTAAGACCTTCTTACAGTTATAGTTCATAAACAGGGAGCCAGAACACAAGGTTGTAAACCAGTATTATTTAATAGGAACTTTCAAAGTAATTTGGGATACTTAAATACTTCTTTGAAACACATCTTTGTTTCTAATACAAACATAATAATATTGGGAATGTATGTACAGACTGCAATAGACAATTTGCAAGTTTAAAATAATTATGTATTTGAAGATCCTGTAGCCAGAATTGTAATGTATGAAAAGACTGACCTACTGAGCTGACATCACAGAAAGCAACTGAAGAAGCTAAAGGTTCATTTTTAAGAAAGAAAATGAAACTGTCACTCCAAAATAGTGTGAATTTTACCTTCTGAGAGTACTGACAGTCATATTAGACAGGACTGCTAGTAGATTTTGATTAGAAGCTTAAGCTTCAAAGTAAAGTGAAATTTGGAAATTTAGGTATAGTAGGTATTATTTAGGTATTTTGGAAATTAGGTATAGTAGTTGTGAGCCTGCCCTGCATCAGTACTTGCTGGAGGACAGAGCAGAGATCTTGCTCGTAGCCTGACACCAGGCTTGGGCAGGGTGTGTGTGAGTGGGAGAGAGACAGAGGTGGACAAAGGGGGACACAATACTACAGCTGTACCAGTCCCAGAACACAGCAGTCCTACTGAAAATACTGCAAAAATACATTAGTATTTATAAATAATAATTTTATATTTCTTACAGCATACCTGTAATTATCAGTAAAATCAGCATCTTTATAATCCTGTTACATTCTTGTAATACATACCATAATATCCACCATTTATCCCATTTTCACAGACAGTCCAAATTTAAAACCTTATAGCAATTCTGTCATTGAAGGTAAAGATTAATTTAAGTATTCTAAAGCTAATTCAGGTTATACCTGCTTATTTGGATTATGCTGGAATTTGTTGTGCCTCCTGGCAGTCTGAATAGCAACAAGTGCTAAATAATGTAAAGTAATTTGAAAAAGAGTTCTCAAAACACTGAAATAGTTTTTCTTGAGGATAGCTGAGTCTTCTAGTTTTGTCTTAAGAAAATGGGGAGTTGGTATATGGTTCTGACTCTGAAACATTATCTGAGTTTACTTCAAATTACTGAGATAGATAGAAAATGTTTCTGGGAAGCAAAATTAAAAACAGCACTACTAAATCAGTTCAGGTTCCTAGAAAATACAAGAAGACTTTTCTGACTGCTCAGATCTAAACATAGTTTGTGAGGTTTGAATTAATTGATTGAGATTTCTACCACACTGGTGTTCACTGATCTGAAGCAGAAATCCAGTAGCTGCTAATTAGTTGATTTTTATCCAGTGTTAGTTTGAAAACAGTCTTTCATTGGAAAAATATAAACAGATTCCTACATGTATTCCTTATGTATTTATAATTTTTTTTTATACAGGACATACACTTAAGTAAAGGCAATCCCTTTGTGTGTATAGCAAGTGGAATAGGGCCTGAGTGTAAACAGGGCTCAGCTGTCCTTTCTGTCACACTTAAAACAATCCGTAACAGAATGCACCAAAAGCATGAAAATGTTAGATGGTAGATTACATCTCTCAGTCTTTCCATCATTCTCACAGGAGTATGAAGTGGCCATACTTCTGTAAGTAAGTGGATCAGAGAGCATGATGTCACATTCTGTATTAGGTGTAGTTATGTGTCACAGCAGAACACCAATGTGTGAGCAAGCGCTAATTCCCACAGATAAATTTCTCCTACTGCTAAAAGAAAGCAAGGAAAATAAATTGCCAAAAATCAATCATGTTGTCCAGTATATTTTAAGGATATCAAAAGTGGGATTCAGACATCAAAAGTGTGATTCAATTGTCCATATATTAACATCATAGATGTGCTCATCTGAACAAGGTACCAAGGGTCCCTTAACAGTCAATAGAAAGAAACAGGGACAACACACTTCGTCCTTATTCAGACATCTACAAGGGTTTAGTTTTCTTCATCAGCTGTAAGGACTTTCCTTGTGGTAAGTGCAGTGTGTGTATTCTCTTCCTGCAAAGAACCCTTCACAGGATCAATACTGATTTTTAATTGTTAGTTTATCTCCCTAACATGTGCAGTATAGTTCTGTAGATCAAGAACTTATTTTTTCACATATTACAGTTGAATTTAATCCCTTTCCTAATTAATCTCTATCTGTCCTGCTGTTGTTGCAACGCCATGTTAAGACAAATGACACAGGATGAAGTTTTCAAGCTCTGTTTTCTTCTTTCCTTTATTAGCATATAAAAATCTCAAGGAGAAAGCCTTTTACATCTTAAGCAGGACAGTTCCCTGTGACAGCTGTGCCAAACCGTTGCAACTGATCTCTTTGGTATACAATACAAATTTATCTAATATAATGAATGCAATTACTCTGTGTGCAGGTAGTTTCCAAGGCTGTTGCCAGTGTACACAGAGCTATAAATGTATAGTGCAGTCCTCTGTTTAGTAGCAAATTTATTTCTTGCTCTCAGTTTGGCACAATTTGGCATTCTAAAAGCTGAAAGATGTCACCTGGCAGATAGCATCTTTAATACTTTTCTTCAAAGTCTTAAGTGCTTTTGAATTTATGTTCACTGAGAACAGGCTGTCATGCCATTGTGGTGCTGACTCACCCATCCACTTTGTAGTAAGGCTGCATCTAAAGTTGAACTATCTGAACTTGGATTTGGCCCCTGAAAACTCTTTCAGTCACTCAATTGTGTAGCCTAGTTGTAGATTTTATTTATATTATCTCAATTTAGGAACCTAATATGAATATTCTGATCACCCAAACTGGAAGATACTCAGATAATAATGAAGATTCATTAGCAGGTTAGGAGTCTTATTTTCTTAAGCCTCTGCCAAATTACTAATTATTATGCAAATTCAAAAGCTGCCAAATCAGACTGCACAATCTTACTTTAGCAGTCATGTGATTCTATATGAGTACATTGTGTAGATATGCAGTTATTTCTTCATTGTCTTCAATTAAATTTCATTCAACATGAAAAAATACTGTTGGCATCTGCAGGGAGCAAAATCTTGGTTCAACGTCTTATTTCTATTTTTCTTTTTTTTATTATATTGAAAAAAACAATACTAAAAATTTTGTTTTTATGAATTCACTTATGTGTTCATGTAACTATATAAAATGTATATGTTAAGACAGAATTGTGTTTGAAGTTGTATATTACTACAAAAAATTATATTTTTCTCCCACAATTGCATAAATTCTTTTAGATTTGAAAAATATTTAAATATCATATAGAATCCAGTGTCAATAAGTCAGTTTATTTTCCCCTTAATATGTACATGTAAACACATGAAATTGTTTGTTCATTATGAAGGCACACGGTTTTGTGTTGAAGTCTGTGGTTTTCTTATTTTCTAGTTTAGAAAAAGGAAGTTGTCTAGGGAGAAATGTTGCATGAATCAAAACAATTTCGGCTATATTTTTTCAACTATGTTTGTGCAGTATAGTCAGTTTCATATTTTGTATCATCATTATATTTTTTATCATCATTTTACCATCTTGACTCTATTCTCTAGTGCGATATGTAATTTTGTTTTTCTGTTTAAGCCATAAATGTAAAATTTGAGCCAAAATTTATGTCCAGAGTTTCTCAATATGGAAAATTCTAAGTTCCTTTGTTTTTTTAAATAAATTTATTGTACTATATTTTTAATCAATAAAATGCAAGTGATAGAGTTCTTTATTCTTCTATATACTTTGTGACTAATTTTAGTATACCATTATATAAAAGTCATAATGCAGTACTACTGAAGAGGCATGCACAATGATTTCTATAGCATAAAGCATATATTTATGTATGGTGCATTGTATATGAATTTTCATAGTGTTGTTCTCTCTAAGAGTTTTCCATACTAATCAATGTATTTTACTAACAGCCTTTAGGATGTTTTTCAGCTGTCACCACACAGGTTCTTAAGTATATTATGCACACCAGTCTCCAGACACTGACAGGAGTTTGTTGTTTCTGTGGAGCTAGTCTGGTGGTACAACTCAGATCAGATCATTGATCACTGGTCTACAGGCGTCAGAATAAACTTCCACAAATGTATTTTCAGCTTGTGTATCATTACATGAGTTATTTCAGGTCTTGGTAGCACTACAGCAGTAGCAAGATGTAATTCATCACTGGGAAGATGACCCTGTGTTTATTAAGAATTTAAAGTTGTCATATAGGCCAGGCTGGGCCTTGTCCTGGTGAACACTTCACTATTATAAGTCTCCACAGTGAATCAGATCTAGCCTTAGGCACTTCTTAGGATAAAATGGATTCCCTGTCTCTTCATTTTTGTCTAGGAAGTGTTAGACAAATAAATTAGACTACATAACAGTCTGTCATCTGGTTAAAATTAGATGAGATGAATCTCACTCTAGCTGTAGGTATGCAGAAAAACCCCTGAGACAAGATTCCACTGCTCTCATGGCATCATAGGATGATTTGGGTTTGAACAGAGCTCAGGAGGTCCAACCTCCTGCTCAAGGCAGGGTCAACTAGGAAGTCAGACAAGATTATTCAGATCTTAATTCCATCTCATCTTGAAAACCTTGAACTAAATATTATTGGTATGTAAAGATGTATAAATACAAAGCCTGTGCTTCACATTGACTAGCTCTAAATTTGTCTATTTAATGTAGTTTACAGGAATCTGAGACCCAGCTGTTACAGGAAGCTGAACGCCTGAGTACAGAACTGGAGCAACAATGTGACCTGGAAAAAGCAGAACAGCTCCCTGAAGAAGCTTCCAGTGAAGCTGCCCAAATAAGGCAGCAACTTCTTAGCTGCCGAAGTGAATACAATGCTATTAAAGGAAGAGTGTATGAAAATCGATTGAAGATAGAATGGTAGGTGAAAGTGGTCACCTGCTGCTAATTTTATCATAGCTAATCTAAAAAGATGATAAATAGAATAAAAATCATCTCCTTTACATTTTACGTGGACATATTTCATGATGGCTGCTGTCAAACAAATGGCCGCAAACTTTCCCCAGTAACAGCAACATGTCAGTGATGAATAAATTTACCATGGTGAGATTTGTAGATTTAAATTTAGAACATGGATAGGGTTCTTTAAAATACTGTTTAAAATTTGCTGCATTGCACAAATAATATTTAGGTGGAGAAAATTAACATGAACAATTCTAGTCTAGGATACCTTCAATACAAACGTTTAAAGTGTCTCAGAGACCTGTTGGCTTGGATTTTATGGAACAATGTCATAAATAGACCCAGTGCTATTTTTAACATCAGTAGCATGGTGTATTCAAATTTTTCTATTCAGGTATTCAAAGGGGAAGGAGTACTTGTATATTCTAATGTCAGAAAAATTATAAATTTACTGTGAAGGGAATGAAATCTTAACATTTCTGTGTAAGGAAAACAATCCAGAATTAGCTTGGTATTGTATACATTTCAATTATCTGCATACTCTGTAGTAAAATTACAAGCAGAAGTATTGCATTTTTAAAAATATCTACATAGGTAGATGAAATCAGATTTTTATTTTGTGGGGGCCTTGCTATTTTTACCCATCTTCAATCCAGCTGTAGTGTCATTGGTGTGTGTATATAAACACAAACACACAATGTCAGCATCTCGGCAGTTAAGATTATTATTCTGCAAGGAAATCAGGAACACTGTATACCCTGCATGGAGCAGGCTTTTCTGGCAATTCTTTATTGATTTTTTTAGCTTTTTTAGAGCCAAGTGTTTGCTCTAAGAGAAAAAGAAACTTGAGAATGAAGCAAACTGGGAGTGGGAAAGAAACATGGAAAGCATCTGGAAAAAATTATTTGCTATGAGATAACTAAGAAACATGAAATTTCCTGAAATAATTATTAAATACAGAATGTATTGCAATTTCCAAGCAGTCCAAAAATAAGGTCTTCAAAAGTGTGCTTTTTAACCATTTGTCCTCATATATTTTGGGAAGTTTTCACTGATTTTGCATCAATTTACAAAAAAAAAAAATAAATTAGGATTTATGTGTTTAGGAAATATTTTCCCATTCTCTATTTTCTACCTCCAGTCAAAATGAGAACTCTATTCTATAAAAAATGCACTGTAGGTATTTCAATTACCCTTGCACATTTTCTGGATAATTTTTATATATGAACTGAATATCTTACAGGTGAAAAATCCACTTTTTGGGCTTGTCATGCTGTAAAAAATGTTCCTTCATTGTAGTAAGTAACTTATGCTTTGTGTATTACCTGTGATCAAACCCAGCTGTACAGTCTGACCAACCAGAGGTTGGTGGGGTGCATTATCTAACAGAGACCAAAAGTGCAGCCCCAGCCACTTGTGATGTGGGGATTTCATGAGCCAAATACAGTTCTCTGTGCTTGGGAATCCTCAGTTGACCCCTATTCCTTTGAACTTTTCCTGTCTCCTCCAGAACAAACTTCTGACATTGCAACACGCTGGGTGAAGCGTTCCACAGATTAACTACGTAAGAGCTGCCACCTCCTTGCTTTTTTAACCTGACTCCTACAGCTTCTTTCAGTGCCCTGTAGTTCTTGTACTGGATGAGACAATGAGCATCTGATTCACCGCTGCAGAATGGATTAGTAGATCTCTTTTGTACAACCCCTTCCCCCTTTAATTTTATAACCCCTTCCCCCTATTTTTATAAACTCAGGAGCTACAGCTTATTTAATTGTTCCTTGTCTAGAATCTGTTTCATGCCTGATGGTAGCATTGGGTCTTATGTGTGTTGTGGGTATGAAGTGAGAAGGATGTGCCTTGATTGTGTGTGGATTTGCTTACTGGGAGAGAAATTCCAGAAATATTCAAGAAATTATACTGATTTTGAGTTGGACTAGTCTAGAATGAACAGGACTAGCACAATATCTGTAAAGAATGGGTGAGTGGATGTAGTAGAGAAATGACAAATAGACTGTGAAGAAAACCAGATGATGGGTGTGGATACATGTTTGTAATGAAGGTGTGAGTTTGGTGCCTGTGAAAGACAGTGAAAATGAGTGTCCAGAGTAGAGTTTTGAATAGCAGGTGATCCAACACTGATGTAAAATGAAGATTTATATGCTTGCTGGTTTTATCCAAAGATAAAACAGTATTTGCTGAAATATCTGTGTGCACAGACAATGTCACAGACAGGGGAGAGGGAAGCTGCATCAGAGGTATTAGAAGTTTGCTAGATTGCTGCTTGGTTTCCTTCATTTCTCAAGATAAAAAGTCATGGTCCAACCTCTCTTGGCCCTTGATCTCTCTGGAACACAGTTTCCCTTGTTGTCCAACTGTGTTAATACAGTCCCAGCTGTGCTTGGCACTTACAAGTAAAGTCTCTTCGGGAATTATGACTAATGGCTATTCAGTCTGAAAATAAACATGTTGTTTATTTACTTTTTTATGTATAGCAGGCAGGGAACATGGAAGGGGAAAGGTTCTGAAGGGTTTATCTGTGTCTCTTATCTACTGCTTTATCCTTTTTTTTTAGAATGTCTACTCAGACCTAGTGCTGAGCTGGAAGTGAGAAATCTGATCTGGTTTCCCTGGTTCTGCAGATCTCTGTTCCCCTGTTTCTGTAAACCTTTCTTTCTCTGAAGCATCCCTCTTATCTCTGATGCCTTTGTTTCCTGCCTTAATTTACTTTCTCTAATATCTAAGAGTACTTAGCACGTTTTTTGCACTCAGATTCCAATCTGACAACAATGACATTTCACACTTGGGGAGTCCTACAGATGTGCCATAACATTAGCAAGGCTCAAGGTCTCTTAATATTCCATACTCTTCTGTCCCTGTTTAATTTCCTATTTACTTGACTCTGTAAGTAATTTTTTTCAGACCTTTCTTAATAGCTGAAGATATTTCATCTTCTGTTTAAATTGTTTATTGTTCTAATGAATAGTCAACATTCCCAGAACAAATTAAATTACTTTCAGGATTGAAGTATCATCAGGTTTTCAGGAATTTTGTGACTTTTTTCATAGCCTGAATAGGTACATAAGGTATTTAGTGTATTTCTTGACACACTTCAGCTGTCAGGGAAGTCACCCTGAGGGTGACTGCATGGATGGGTTGTGTTCCCACTGTTGGTATGTGCCTCCTCTTCCAGTTTGTGGCCTGTTCTGCCATATGGATGTACTGGGCTCGTTGCTGGTGGGTCTGCCTAAGAGCTCAGCACAGGGGGAGAACAAGGGTTGGAAGGATTTCACTGAGCTTGTAAAGCTTGGGCCACCATCCCAAAGCCAGAGCTGAATCTGGGAGTATTCTTCCTCTCAAAAACTACTTGGCAAGGGTAATAAAGTAATAAAGTAAAAGGAAGAAGAGTCATCTGCAGTCATCTCTCATCTCAGTTCTGCTAAAATTGCATTCAGAGCCATGAAATTTCTTAATATAATTGATAAGAAGCCTCAGTAAGTAAGAATATAGACCAAAAAAATCAAATCAGTGGAACAAGAAGGAAAGAATCAGTGTGATCAGCAAGGATTTGTTCTGGCTCAAGGAGACATTTCACTTTAATGTTCATGTGTGGCTTGGCTGGTTTATGAGACAAAAAAAAAAAGAAGAGCTGCTTTTTAATTACACAATGGTATCAACAGTAGCTTATTATTGAGAAATAATAAATATTCAATCTAAATCTATCATCTAAACAATTCATTTAAAAGTAAGCAATTAATTTGTACTAAATTTATCTATAACATGAGTTTGTGAGATTAAAGGTGCCTGATGCTTGAAAATAATTTTATTTGAAAGCCTAGGTCCAATCTCCAAGCTCTCATAGAGATAACAGCTCCTCACTGAAGTACTCTGTGCAACTGCATGCAAGTCAGGATTGCAAAACTGACTTTGTCCTTGTAGAAGCATTGCAAATAAGGAACACTTGGAATTATTTCTGTATTAGTCACTCAATAATTAAAAAGTGAAAAGTTAAGCTGTTGTCCATGGCTTATGTAGTAAAGAATTACAGGCTATAAGTAAAATAAATAGCATCACAGCTGAAGTTGTTATCAGCTGGCCTTGTCTGCATTTTCTGGTACCTACAAACTAATTACAGCTCAGAGCCTTACAGGAAGCTCACGCTGGCAGCCTGTCAGCTGTGATAACTTCTACCTATGGTCACTAGATTTTAGTAGTGAGGTGCTGAACACCTTCTGTGGATTTCCAAGCTATTCTGAGAGAAAATAGCTGAAGGAGTTCGCTTTCTTGCATGTTGGGACTTCTAATGATAACAGTGTTGTGGTTTTTTGTGAGCTGAGGAAGTGAAATGGGCTTCTGTTGACAACTACCACTACATTTCTTAATCTCTCAATCTTAATTTTTTTATTTCTCAGCTTGCAGCTGTAAATGTCTCTCAGGGAAAAATCTGGAATATATTTTTATTAATAGCTCAGTTTTCCAACTGCCTTTTTTTACCTCATTACAACTGCATCTATGACAGCTTTTCATGTACAGTACTGTTATTAGGCTCCATGAAAATAAGAAGAGCAATGTTAGAAATGTTTGCACATATTAATGCTTAAGAATTTTATCTTCTTTCCATTGTGTGTATTGTTAGAAGTATAACAGTGATAATAAAATCCACATGATTTTTAAAAATACATCCATCAGTGAAGGGCTACAAAATAATGGGAAATTTAAATGCCTAATGCCAGTTGCAGCTGTTTTGTTTGTTGTCATTGACATCTAAGTAAAACAGTCATGAGGCTGATATCCATATAACACAGATTAAAAGATTCAAATGCTAAAGACCAAAATTTCTCTGCTTATCTTATATTAAGCTTCTGTGTTTATCTATTAAATAAGAGACTAAACTTAAATTCTTTGAAGGGTCTTAATTGATTTCTAAATGTGTTTTAATCATCCTGACTCCCCTTTAGAGTGCACAGAGAGATAATAGGTTATCTTCAACTGTTAATTTATGGCAACCTAAAGCAGTCACCTGGAATGTGAGATGACCTCCCCTTTGGAGGTCCCACTTTTTATCCCTGACAATAAGGAAGCCTGGGATGTTAGCATAGAGCTGCCTGACTTCTGGCTGTGGGCAGCTGGATCAAACTCATTGTTCAAACGGGAGAGATTTAACTTCTTTCTTTTTACCCATTTTTTTTTTTCACACTTCGCTGGTTTTTGTGTGGAAGTGGTTGGTTGCCTGGCTATTTGGGTAACTTGGCCCTTGTCATTCACTGTTGCCTTTGTTTATGCCACAGAAAATGAAGTGTTCAAATCATTTTACTTCTGCTGGATGGAATTTTTTTTGTTGTGAAACTGGAATGGTTCCACAGGAATCTGTCCTCATGAGTGAGGAATGTGACAGAATGAAAACAGTGTCAATTTTGCTCTCCCTCCTGATCTTTGGTATTGCTCTTTTGATCGTCCAGCATGATGTGAAAGGGGGCACAGCACGGTCTAACCACAAGCTCTGCAGTACCTCTTTAATCATTTGGCATAAGACTTATTTAACAGTATTTCGTGGCAGTCAAACTGTTAAGGGTATTTGTGCAAAGGAAACATTCTTTATCCTTAGTGTGATTATGCCAGTCCCAAGGAATTCAATTAGAAGTACTGCCAAAATGGGTTTGGAATATGATTTTGGAATTTTGGAAATTTATTTTTTAATTAATTTTATCAGTTTTGGGGGAAGATTGATTTAAATTCAACTTTTTTCTTTATAAGATTTTGTTTTGCAAACTCATTTACTCTCTGAGTGTTCAAATGCTGGCATTCAAATTAGTTTTTAGTCTTTACCAGTCCCTGTAGAGGCATACTTGCAGTCTGCCCATACAAATATCATGCATGCTGTATATCAACAACAACTACTCTGTGTCTATTTTGTCTTTGCTCTTCATCTGAGCCAGAGCTTCTTATTTGTGGGAGAGATGTTTTGTTTTGTTCTGTTTATATTACAACACCACCAACTCAGTTCTCTTTTTTTTCACCATTTCCTTTCCTTAACTAGAAATATGTTGCCTGATGCTTCCAGGTATAAGCTTCACTCCTTTTGTTGGAGGACTCAGATATAAGAAAGAGTTTATTGAGAGAGTGGGGGTGGTGGAGGGGAGGAGGGAATCTTATATCAGAACTGCTAAAAGGGTTGAGCATAAGGTCCTAGGTATGGTCATCCATGAGTTGGCTGCTGGGAGATTGATCTCTGTTCCCATGACCACATACTTTCTGAATCCTGAACCACTACCACCATGCAAAGTCTTGCACTTCTGCTGAAAGATTTCAGAAGAAAAAAAAGAAATAGCTGTCACCTGCCTCTTTTCTGTATCAGCCACATTATGAGGTAACTAATAGCTGTTTTGGGTGGGTGGAGATGCCCAGAAGTCCCTTGCCATTGTTATATCTCCAAGTGACACGACTCTTTTATAGAAGTTTGTCCCTTTCTCGTAATGCTTCTCTAATTTAAAGAGTTATTTATTCTACCAGACTGCCCTGGGTATCAACAAAACTTGACCAGCACATCCTCCCACCGGAGTTAAAAAAATTTAAGCACTGAATAAATTTAAGCACTGAAGTGGATTCTTTGCTATACCTGGGAAGGGGATTTGTTTGTTCCACCTATTCCTTAGCTGCAGTCTTTACTTCTTTATAGCCTGAGACTCTGAAATGTCATTGTAGGTACTAATTGCACTGCAAGAACCTGCTCTCTTGTTCCCAGTGAATGGCTCAGTGACCCAGTTAAGCTGTTAGGCTGTGAGGGCATACAGACTGCTGTAGCCCATTTACCTTCTATAGGTGCAGAATTGTTCTGTACAGGTACTGGGGATGTAAAGATTTACCTTCAGCAGGGATAATTTTTTTGTATTTGGCAGTATTTACCTACCTGCTACCAAGAAGCTCCCTATTGTAAATCCAACAAGCTTGTTGCTCAACAAGGTTGAGCTCTTTTTAGAACCATTCCTTCATCTTTCTCAGGGCAGTGTTAGTAAATGCACACAAGATCTAAGAGCTTTCCTGTTTTCTCCTTTCTTCCTTCTTCACTTCTTTAGCATCTGTCCCTATTGTTGAAAGGGACATTTCCCTTTCAACATGTCCCTATTGTTGTATTGTTGCTAATATTGCTGAAATTAAATGCAATTTAGTTTTGGATATAGGTTAAGATCATTGTGGCCATTCAATTTACTTTTCAACCATACTCCTTTGACTTAGCCTATAATCCCTCCCAGTTTTCAGGATTTTTTTCCCACAGGATCCAGTCCAGATTTGAGGAGCTTCACCTGAGTAGTCTGAAGAGTAAATTTATATGTAAAAACATTCATAGGAAGAAGAAAGTTTCTCATTAGCAACTGCACTTTCTTTGACATTTGATGTCTTCGTGGTTGTTACCTACCTCCTCTTTCCTTTTGCCACATTTCCATGTTGACATTTTATTTTCTGGGGTTGGGAGGAACTGTGGCTCTAGGGTGCCACTAGTAAAGGCAAGGGTGAGTGAGGCATGAATGCACCCCTCAGGAGGTGGTCAGACTAAGAAAAATCAGGTTCAAATGTTTAGATGTGTGCACTGTAGAAAAAGATGTGTACACCTCCATATATACACCCAGTCCTTCAGGACCCCCAATTACTGTCAGAAAACTTCCTTTAAGTCTGAGCACCTTTCATGTTCTTTCACTGTGTGTTGTAGTCTAACACAGGATAGGGTTTCATACTTTCCTACCATTTACTATATTACAGTAATGATTATTCTATTGCTGATATATTTAGTTCTGCTTTGATTTTTACTGCAGTTTGCGAGAAGAAAAAAAGCTTCTGGAAAATGAATACGAAAGAATTTCAAAAGAAAAGGTAAGTACAAGACATGAGAAAAGCAATGTATTATGTTTTGTCAACTAACATATTAAAAATCACTGAAAATGTTTTCTCACTGTGCATATCTAGAATTTATTTAAAATGGAATACATAGAAATACATAGAATACATAGAAAAAGAGATTTTAAAAGAAACAGACTTTATTGACTATATTATATCATTCAATTTTGATAACTTGGGCAAGCAATAAGTAACTGATTCAGAAAAGATCTGGATTTTTTTTTTGTTTACTCCAGAAAATGTTTACTATATTCAGTAAATGGATACTGCATTTACAGATAGCTGCAGGTTTTTAGTTCTAGGATATGAACATGAAAAATACATTTGTAGTCATAAATCCTGAGGAATATATGTGGCTTTGTTTGAAATAAAATTCTAGTAGTATTGATAGAAGAAACACACATCTGGTAAAAAAATATACATTTCATATCTTGTCATTAAAAATGTTATTGTCATTCAGTTAGTTAGTGAGTCTGTATTATCAGAAGCCTGCAAAATGTAAAAGGGAAAATACAATTAATCTGGTCTTTTACTTTCTTTTTAAGAAAGGCAATAAAATTAAAAAGTTGAAAGAAAATTGTGATGAGCTCAGCAAAGAAGTAATCCAGAGGAAAGAGGAAATTGATTCAATAAAAGAAGCTGTTTCATCCAAGGAAAAGCTGATATTAACAGATGAGGAAGAAATGGAAAAGCTTCAGGAGACGCAGACTTTTTTAAAAGTAACACAAAATTAATTGTACCTATGTATCTGTGAGTGTGTGTGCATGGGTGTGTATGGGTACATGTTTTGCCCAGAGGAGCAGTGAATATTCTGGATGTTGTCATTCCAAATTCATTATGTCACAACATTAAATATTAGACCGTTTTCCAATAGGCGTGAAACATGCTGCTGTGCCATATCCTTATTACTTCTTTAGGAAATACTAAGTCATGGTTTGGATTAAAAAGTGGTTTCTATAAAGACATCTTAGTTATATTGTATTATTGTAGGTTGCTCAGATTACAGTTAATACAGATTTATGCTGAGAATTAAAAACATACCTGGATCAACTTCTTTTCATGGTATTAATAGCATTATAAGATGTATTAATAGTATTCAAGCATAATTCTTATCTTGAAGACATACTAAAATTGTAAACCTCAATGTTTAGTTTTAAAACTAGCAGCTACAATTCTGTGGTAAAAACTCAAAAATGCTTCCTACTGATTTTCACACCAGTTCTAAATGAATATTTCTACTATGAAAAGTCATCAGCTTTTGAGGCTATTAATCACACCTTTCTGTTTTGTTACTAGGCTGAGCTGGTTAGGATCCTTGGTATTCCAAAGCAACTTGCAAAAGAAACTGAGAAGCTGAATCAGAAAAAAATGTATGTTTTTAATAAATAATCTATATACCTGAATATATATATGTATGACTTCTTACGCCTTAGTTATAGAAATGATTGAGGATAGTTGTTGATTAGAATGAGGATCAAAATTTAAACTAACACCTCCACAGCTGACAGTGTGGCCTGAGCTACAAACCCATTCTCCCTTGCTCCTTCTGTACCAGCTGTGGAGCCGCAGCTGCTTTGCTGTAAGGTCCCGACATGAGTTGCAGTCACTAATACTTTATCAGGGGAAATGCAACCCAGCAGCCAACCTTTTCTTTTTCTCTTTTGTGAAGCTGAGGTTCTTCTCCACTGAAGCATGGCATGTGCTCTTTTCTGTAAGAGTAAAATCAAATTAGCACTGTGCAGTTTCTTCTGGGTCACTCACAAATCCCAGCGGTCCAATTGCCATCCAGATGAATGATGGGTTTCGTACCCCATTTGTGCACAGGGTTACACTGGAGTTTGTGTCTCCTTACTACTCTGCTTAATGCAACTCTGCCATCATAAATCTAAGAAGTTTTCCCTATGGTGTTACAGAGAAGCAATTTCTAAAACCTACATTGTGCAGATTGCTATTAATGAAATATTTAAATGAGTCTTTATATAGTCTTTATATGTGTCACATGACAGAATAAACTAATCAGAGTTCCCATTTCTTAGGAAGAGTATTTAGAAATGTCATAACTTTTTACCTAGTAATTTTGACATAAATCAGTTTACTAGGACTCTTTCTAATGCTGTCATGGTGCTAAGATGTCAGCCTCATGGTTAACTGCAATTTTATTGTTGGACTATATTGGAATTTGAAGGTTTTCACTGTCTGTTTTCAAACATTTAACATATATTGTTGTGGAATTATTTTGTATGTCCACAAAAACTGGCAACTTACATTTTGTTTTTTAAATATGCATGTGGAAAATTTAACCCTTACTGCTTTGTTAAAATATATCCACAGTGATGCAGAGAAGAAGAATGAGGCCCTTAATGACCAAATAGAAGAATTGAATAGAACCCTGAAAGCCACTGAAAAAAAGACTGAAGAGATTTTGCAAGAAAAAGAAGATGTGATGAAGCAATTGCATGACAGACAAACTTTGATACAAAAGAATGAACAAGAATGCATTACTTTGACAAAATTACTAGAAATTAGTGCAGAGAAGGAACTAGCTGTCCTAACAGACAGGTTAGAGACATGAGCCACATGGAAAGAGTGAACAATCTTCTATTCTCAAAAATATATTTATTTTTTCCACTGTTGCTTCTATTTTCAAGTTTTATGCAACAGCCAGTGGAAATTATAAATTATCCGGCTTGGTTTTCGCTTCAGAAATGTTTATAGAAAAATTTGGAATCTTCAGTCTCAGACTTGGCTTGAAGAAGAACATCAAAAATCATTGAATAAAATCCTGTGAGATTTTGCTCTTAAAAGTGAAATCTTTTAGAGGGTTTCTCTCTTTAGTGCACATATTTTCTTTCCCGTGTAACCCACTGAAAGTAATTTGAAGAAGAATAAAGTACGTCACTATTTTCATTTTCAAATGAGGATCGTGGATGTCTGCCCTCATGTAGTCCTGAATTTCAGAGGGAATTGGTTAAACATCTCTTTAATATTCCCTTCAATTATGATCCTTGGTAAAGTAAAATAAGCTGTTAGGTTGCAGGCAAGCTTCCAATGATTCCTCCTTTGCAGAGGAAGATGTATAGTTTTAATTCTGGCCATATGCTCAGCAACAATTATTTTGCCTTTCAAGCTTTGTATTAAAGGCCCATGGCATTTTATTTTGAAATGTTCCTTCATACTAAAAAATGTGTTTTCTTCTCCCTATATGTACTAGATTCCCTCATATTTTTAGCACATTTAGAACAGAATGTGAGACCTCATCGACATAATTAGGGTATTATAATTGATTATAGTTATAAAAATGCTACCTTTTTAGGTATTTTTTGTCAGTAGTTTACAAGTTTGTCTTGCTGAGCCATAGTGATGAGGTACTCAAAAGCCATTAAAATAGTTGTGCCTGTTTACATATATGTCTTGATTAAGTTACCTGTTTCTAAAATTCTGTGTCTATCTATATAGAAAAATTCTGGAAAATAATTTAAATAAATGTGTCTTGGAGAAAAAAAAGCAACAAGATATTCTCAGTCACCATCAAACACAGAAAGACAAAGAACTGAAAAGTTTAAAAAAGATAGAGTTACAGCTGAAAGGGATTTGGGATTCCTTGGAAGGAGATAAGGCAAAGCATAAAAGACTCAAATCAGAGGTCTGTATGAATGCATTGATCATAAAGATTGTAAATTTTCTTGTAAGAAATACTTGTATGAAATCTCTTGACAGTCCTACAAGGGAAAAGGGGGGAAGACTGTCATTTCACCTTCTTCATTTCCTCCTTGCTTTAGTATTTCTACCATTCTTCTTTCAATAATGCTTTACTCTTTTCTATTTTACTTAGTCTTTTGACTATGGAAATTTTAAAGGGAAGTACTGTTCTGCTTGTGTATTCAAAGCATTTTCTTTCTTTTCTACTTTCAGTTCTTTCTTAAAAATTTACTTTGTCTATAAATTTTTTATATTTTATCACCAGTTCTTCCATTCTCTCTTTGTAATATATATTTTCTCCTAAACTTGCTGCTTGCTCAGTCTGGATTCTGAGTCATATAAAATTGTTTAGTCAGGTGAATATTTTTTCCCAGAACTTGATGTTTCCTACCTTGACACTGTCCTTCAAATTTTTCTTCTAAGGAATTCAGGGCAGAAAAGAGTCTTACATTATTGTTAAGTTTTAAAAAATAACTATATGTATCAAAACTCAAATAGCTTTGCTATGTAAACAACTTCGTTTATTACTTGATAATATTTAATATTATCAAACAATATTTTTTTGTCTCCCTTGAAATTCCTCCTGAAATCACATGTGTATTATTTAGTAATATAAGCTCACCTGGGAGAAGGGAGGAAAGCTCTACAACTACACAACAAAGTTTTGGATTTAATTTCCTGAAATAATAATTAAAGGGCTGACTCATAATCCAGACTTTGATCTTAAAGATGAAAGATTTTCTCTTCAGTATCAGCTAAGAAAATCTTGGAGATAGTATTTTTGCTTGTCTTCCCTTTGAGGAAATGTTCCTGGATGTAGAACCACAATTGTTTAAAAACATGTAATGCTAAAGTTAAATGCCATAACTCACCAGCAGCTGTGGTTAGAGTTCACAATCTGGGGTGAGATCCAAACCCATCCCAGCCCAATTCCTTCACCCTATGGAAGGACAAGACCTTGTATGTGTCTTACAAATAGCATCATCATGAGGAGCAGGGGAAAAGGAGTGCCATGAGAGACAGAAGTGGAATTCTAATCAGTATTTTACTCCACCAGCTGCGGGATACTACTCTAATGCAAACAGGCCACAGCAACAGAGTTATTTTAGCCCATCCTCCCATGCTCAATGTTTTCTCTGATTGCTTTCCTAGCTCTGTTAGAAGAGCAAATGTGAAATCAGTGTTCCTCTGCAGGGTGGCCAATTGAAACACAGTACTGCAGCAAGGAAGGGTCAATTGGCCATCTTGATTCTGCTTGGCTTTTGCTATACTGGGACAATTCTAATTTGTCAGACTTGGGAGCACACCTAGCAAAAACTAAAAACCAGTATTTTAAGTAGATAAAATTTATTTAACTACTTAAAATCCCAGATTTACATTTATTCATTGTGATTCAAAGTGCAAAAATCACAAGAATTAATGGTTTGTATAAATATGTGATTGCAGAAGCAGCAGTACATCAATATGGTTCCCCAAATTTCTTCTTTGGAATGACTGGTTTGTAGAATAAGGAAATTACAAGAACACTTCCTTCAAATGTGTTTTTCCCTTTAGTGAGATGTGAAAGGTCAGCTATTGCTAAACACCAACACTGTATGTTAAAGAGAACCACTGGTCCCGCTGTCCCCAGCCTGGACCAGAACTGCTGCTCCTCTCCATGTGGGCCTTCTCTTTGGTCAGGACAATGCAGAGACAGCCAAAAATTCCTAAGTTTAGCCCTGTCTTACATAAACAGAAGTCCTTAATGGATTCAAGATGTTTATGTGAACTTTTTACTTTTACACAGCAGAAGTGACAACTAATATATGCTCCACGGAGAAGCTATTTTTGATGCCAACACAAGACCAAAAGCCACTTTCTTAGGACAGGCTTTACTGACATTGTAGTAAACCTAAGTAAAATCAAATCTCAGAGCTGGCAGCTGCAACTAAAGTAACTCCACACTTTGACATTTACTGTGTCTCTTGTTTCCACTTCCAATAATGCAAGTGAACAGCGTTTAATTTTACAATACTATCACAGAAGTGAAAATAACAAGTGCAAAACATCTACCTATCAGTATAGATTTATAGTGTTTTGAACTCTAACATCTGGTTGAGATCTGAGCATCACAGGGTTGTGTATATTATCTTTGAGTATCTTCCAGGTGTGTTATTAAATGTAATTTTTTCCCATCCATATGAATTACAGATTTGCAATTAGAATAATTTGGGCTGGAAAGGATTCTTTAAAGGGTTCTTAGGTCCAAACCTGACACATTTATCTAGATCAGTCTAGTCAGACCTCAGTCCAACCTGGCCTTGACGGTTTCTAGAGATAGGGCATCAACCACCTCTCTGGGAAACCTGGACCAGTGTTTCACTACCCTTGTTGAACAAAATTCTTTTTTATATCTAATCATCCCTCTTTTATTTGAAAATTAATATCCCTTGTCCTGTCACAACAGGTCCTGCTAAATTGCTTGTCCCCATCAATTACACAGAGGCAATATATGCCTTCATAGTTAGTCTGATGCACTTATTTCTTGCTTTCTTATAAACATAAAGAATTTTTAAGTGAAGTCAATCAGCTGAAGTACAGATTTTTGTCTTACAAGTTACATCATGTAAGTAGTTGTAGTGAGATTGATCAGATGTATTTTAATCAGTGGTAGGTTTTTTTTTATGTATTCCTTCACATACTTAACGTTAAAATCTGATTGAATAAATGAATTTTCCCATAATGTACATGAAAAAATAATACATACATTTTTGTGTTATTAGATTTGACTTTCTAGAATCTAATTAAAATCCTACCATAGTGACAAAAGGAAAAAAATATTATATCCATTCTATGTAGATGTGAACTCTTTTTCTCCTTCAGTAAGTTCAGAATTTAACTCTGAAAATCCTCTGTGAATTTAGGTGACATTTTTATGTACTCTGAGTTTATTGCTTTTTTAATGAGAGTTTGGTTGCTGAAAATCATAAACCTTCTAAATTTGTGAAGTTTAGTGTTCATAGTTCTTGAAAGAAAAATTTGAGACACTTCAATAAGCATTCTTGTACTAACAATTATAAAAGGAGAGAAAATTAATTTCTTAATTTGTGTAGCTACTTCTAATACAGTATCTGCAGTTTACATTTTCCTCATTTTTTGTTTGCATCACTATGTGCTTGGTTTATTTTTGTAGGCAGAAATTAACTCAAAAAAAAATGCAATATTATTAGAAAAACGACAAGAACTGCAGGAGGAGATTGAAACGATCAAGAGAGGTTTAGCTGAACAGGTGCTGAGTTCTGCTTTCTCATATTTTTTTCATTTTGACAGCTGGTTTTCTATCATGAGAATGAAGGGACTATTTGAAGAAAAAATAATGGGAGTTTCTAGCTGCAGCTTTCTGAGAAAATGCAATAGTATTTACTCAGTTTTAAAGACCACTTGTGTTTCATTTTCAAAAACATTTTTTTTGGTGTTACTGGCTACATAGTAGAAGGTAGAAAGCAAATCTACTTTCTAGTTTAAGTTTCTGAATGTTGTTGATGACACTGCAGCTAGAAATATATTGTTATAGATTTCCTTTGGATATGAAACTGTCTTGTTGCAACAAAAAAATTCAGTATTTGTACATCAAGATTTTTCATCTTCACAGTTCTGTCATTTGTGGATGTCTGTCTGTATGCAGCAGAGCCACACAGAGTGGAAATGCAGATACCTGCATTACAAGAGCATTAGTACTTGCCACTACATAATTGACTTTATAAGAAACAATCTATTTCAGACATGCATTCTTAAGATCAAACCTCCTTGTCTTCTTACCCTTATATTAATTTTCTTTATGTGTTTTGTTTGAATTCATTAACATTGTTGATGGAAATCCGCTTGTATTTGGATATATATGCATTCCAGTACCTACATGTCATTCTTTAGGATATGTAACTTGTGTGCACAGATGGGCGTGCAGTCAGTGGAGCCTAGGAAGCTTCTACTCACCTCATCCTGAAGACCTGACACTGAACCTAAAGATTATATAGCTATAAAGACCCATTCTGTACAATGGACAATAGCTAAAAATGTTAGACTGAGGAACAGAAATGCTCCTAGGTGATAATATATTCTGAAATGTTATTATAGGGATTGTGCATGATGTTTTAAAGCAATAAGTTATTACAATTTTAAATCTGTGTAGTCTGCATATTAGTTTACTTTGCAGATAAACCCAAGGTATTTCCAACTTTGGGTTTGCTAACACTGATACATTGCTGCATTAGGATTTAAATTTAATCTTCTTTAGGAAATTATATCAGATACGGATGCCCGTGTGTTGGAAGAATGCATTGCTGTAGAACGCTTGCTTTTCAAAGAGCAGGAAAAATGCAGAAATGAGTTATCCACACTTACACATCTGACTTGGCTCAGAGCTGATGAGAGGCAACTGAAATGCAGGAATGTTCAGAAAGCCAAGGTAAAAAATTATATATTTGGAAGATTGTTCAAAACTAGAAGCTGGTATAGGGAGAAATTAAATAACTAATGAGGGGAACCCTGTGGACTCATTTCCCACTCTAGCTTTGAAGTTCCATCAGAGCACTGGAAGCTCACAATACCGTGGTGCTTTACTGGCAATTTGTGGTGCAGTGCAGTATGTTAAAATACAACTGAAACAATAATAATTGAAAATATAATTGAATAATTGAAACAAGGTATTTGAAAGGACATTTAATGAGTGCCCAAAGGAGGGCAATGAAGATGGTGAAGGGCCTCAAGGGGAAGCTGAGTGAGGAGCAGCTGACGGCATTTGGTGTGTTCAGCCTGGAGGAGACCGAGGAGAGACCTCACTGCGGTCACAGCTTCCTTGTGAGGGGAAGAGGAGGGGCAGGCACTGATCTCCTCCTGTGACCAGTGACAGGATCTGAGGGAGTGGCCTGAAGTTGTTTGGCAGTGGTCACAGCACCAGCCTGACAGAATTCAAGAATTTGGATAATGCTCTTGGGCAAATGGTGTAACTCTTGGGAATGGTGCTGTGCAAGGCTGGGAGTTGGTCTTGATGCTGGTGGCTTCCTTCCAACTCAGCACATTCTGTGATTCTGAGATTCTGTGATTTGCTTTCAAGTCCATGGGATAAAATGACCAATTTGAAAGAAAGAGGCAGAATAGCAGACAACGTCACCTGAGATTATCAGAAGTAAAACTGTGGTTTATTTTACAAATATATGAACATTAGAAGATAAATTGAACTACTACTCATTCCAAAGCGAGGGAGAAATTGATATTTTCCTGTTACATTTCAAGGCATAAATAATTATATTGATTTAGAGAAAGAGGGAAAGAAAACTTTTCCTATGACTAGCCATTATATTTGCTGCCTGCATTTTTCTGGCATGATGTGTGCTGTGATGTCTTACAGAATTTACTAAACAAATTGATACATGGGAATAAGGTATTGATGTTTCCAAAATATATGTCTGTCATCAGATAAATTAGATAAGCTACCCTGCTACCACGGTGGGAAACTCTGTCTATAAAAATAAACGAACATGTCAGGCTTTGTACCTTCAATAAAATCAGTCAATAAACAAATATGAACAAATAAAACAAAATAATACAAATTCAGGAACACACAGACAAGCCCATAGTTGCAACCCATCATCCACCAGCTTTCCCTATGACAAATTTCCTCCTCCTGATACCAGTGGGAGGAGAGAAAAGGTCTGTTGATTAAAGATTGATGGCCCAGGCTATTGAGGACTCAACACAACTGCAGTCGAAAGATCCAGAAACTTAACAGAATGCAATCCTGCTCAAACATCAGTGATTGCTTAAAAGTCAGAATTGAGTGAAAAAGAAATTTCATTTGTAAAGGTAAAGTTTCAATGGTGAAATTTTCATATGCCAAATAACTATATAGCAGTGCACTGAACAGGCTGATCAGGAGAAATGGTGGAACTCCAGATAGAGGGAACCAAGCATTTAAGATGCAGCATCAAATTATCTACATTACTAATAGTAATTAGTAATAATAAGCTTAATATAAATGGAAAAACTGTGCTTTTTTATGTTGTTGTAGTAAAAACTTTTCAATTATAAGAAAAAGTTCTCTATAATAATAACCCCCCTCACTGTCTTTTTCTCATCTAAGACTTGTTCTGGGTAATTTTCTTGAAGACATTTCTCTAATATATCTAAAGTGCTTACTAAATTTTATTTGAATTTCAGATTCAACTGCAAAGTCTTGTTAAGGAACTAAAAAGAAAGGATCGTGAACTAATCACCTGTAAAAAAATGAAAAAAGAAGTCCAAAAACAGTAAGAAAATGATAACAATACATTATCTAAAAAAAGTCTTCTAAAGGAACTTTCATCCAAGTAATGTATGCATAAAATGCTAATAATTATTTCTTTCACACATCTCATTTCTTCAGACTCCAAGAATTGGCTAGGATGTGTGATTTTATGCAAATTGAAAAGGATAAATGCATACAGTTGATGCGTATTGCTCAGTGGAAAGCAAAGGAAGCTGAAAACCGGGTAAAATTGCTAGAAAATAATATAGAAAATTTAAGGAATGCTGTTATAACCAGAGAAAGGTGAGTTTAAAGTACACTGTAGTTCACATTTATAGAAATTTAAGACTGGAAAAAATCTTAAGAGGGAATCTATTCCATCTTCAATTATGCCCATATCATCCTTGATAGTTATTATCCTGATTTTTAAAATCTGATTAAAACAAAGGCATTTAGAAACATTCCTTCATAATCTGTTCCAGCTTCTTATCCCACTAACACTCCACAAGTAGCTTGGCCATCACTGCTTCTCTAAGCTTGTCTCACTACTCTCTCACTTTCCCATCCTTTATCCCACAGTTCTTGGATCTCTCAGGTTTTGTATTTTCATGCTGTTTGATTCAATATGAGGAGCGCTGTTGCACTCATATTTGCTGTCCTTAGAGAAAAAGAGATCATATGACAGATGACTCGACAATGAAGCAGTGCATGGGACTATTACATGAGTCACTAGCTAGGAATGTGGCTAATTATGAAATTAAAACAAATTTGGGATTTTGGTTAATAACTCACACTGAAGTTTATTCAATAAATAAAATGTGGTTTCAATTCCCAAACAATCTTAGACAAAATTAAAGGTTACATTCACAGCAAAGATAATGAGGGAGAATAGCTGGTGCTTGTGACTCTCTTTTCCTAGACCATTTAGTGGGAATATCTTTTTGCCATACTTTTGTCATCCTAGTGGTGAAATTCTGCAATATAGACAGCATTACAATGTCTTGGAAATCTGTACTTGGGCAAGTAGGGAGATAGTGAATAGCTAACTGTGTAAGCAAAACAGGAAAACCAAAATTGAATAGTTAAAAATAACTTGATTTTCCCAAAACTTCATTATTTGGTGCCAAAAAATTGCTCAATCAGACAAATACACTAAATATTTTTTTTGTGAATATCCTGATAGTTTGGTTTCAAAGTCATGCTAGAGATAGCTAAAAAAGAAGGAGAACTTCAATGATTGAAGTGATTTTGTCAATCTGTACAAGCTGATACTTTGTGGTAAAATTTTTGAGGCCTTCCCAGTTGATGAAAGAAGGGGGAAAAAAGGCTAATAAAACATAAATTTTGTACAGATATCAGAAATACACAAATATTATTATTCATCTCCCTACTTGGTACAGATCCAAGAGATATTTTGGGCTCTGCAAAACTAGATTTGAAACTAGTCAGAAGTATTGAATTTTCAGTAACTCTCTTGCCCATGAAAAATATTTTTAATCCCAGTAATAGACTTTAGTATCAGTACCACTGATTTCACTGCAACCTATGCAATTTGGAGGACTGAGTATCAGTACAAGTAAGGCAAGAAATTTTCTGAAAATATTTAAAAGACATTGCATTTCTGCAATACTATTATACTTTCAGTCTGAAACTTGACTACAGAAGTTTAATTAAATTCAGTAATACCCTGTGGTACTCAAAGTGTTATACATATCAGGAAAATGAAAGAAAGCATCTCCCTGCCCTCTATACAGCAAATCAGCAATTTAATGATGGAGCCCATGAGGGAAGGATATTTCATCTGCAGGTCTGTATTTTAACAGGGGACTTTGCTTCTCCTTTCACTACCTTTTTTGTATGTTGACATGAATATCTTCCTGGTGTAGATAAAGCTGTGTTTCAATCCAGAAGTGATACCACAGATCAAATGCAATAACTCTAAATTCTGTGTTGTGAGATAGTAAATAGTTCATTTGGTGACAAGAATCTGTCTTTTAAATGAGGGACCATCATCCAGTAATCAACAAAGATGCTGGAAATAAAGAGATCCGTTCTTTGTTTTTATGTCATCTTGTCACTAACCTCCTACTATGGTTTCTTTGTTTTTTCTCATCTGTCAAATGGGCAATCTAATAATTTTCTTTCTTGTGTTAATGTTGTGACACATGGTTTTATAAACAATAGATTTGGAGAACTTTGAATTGCAACCACAAAATAATTTCAATATTGTTATTTTAAAAAATGGCAGAATTTCTACACATTAAGACTTTTTATCACAGTTTATGCCTATGCTCTTAAACTTTGTATTTTATGGCTACTTGGGCTACCTAGTAGCAAATAAAGGAGTTGTAATGCAGCGCTTCCTATTTAGCATTTTTCTTGAGCCAGAATCTAGATCGTTTCAAGCTGGAAAGAACTAGCAAAAAAAACCTGCTCTCAGAGAGTTTTTTTCTTCTTGTAAAGCTTCTGTGAAGCAGAGACATAGAGGAGCCCTTGTGTGCTTGAGCAATAAATTTAGGCTCTGCTTTTAATTGCTGAAATTGGTTTCAAATTAAAAGGACTAAAAATATTCCCACATTTCTGTTATGTTAAAGAAAATTGCAGGAAGAGTATCTGAAGATTAAAAAGAATGAGAGAATGAAAGAATTGATCAAAAAGGATTATTGCAAAGTTGTACAAGAGATGCTAGAGAGTAAAGAAAAGGAAAAGTATCTGAATGTTGACAGACTTACCACTGAAGCCACACACATGGAAGAGGAAATTTCGCAGATACGCAAAAAATATGAAAGGACTGTTCAGCAACAAAATGAGAGGTACATTTGTAAATTTGATCTAAGGTAGTGTTTAATTTTGACATTCATGAAGCAACAATATTTTTCAGCTTATGAGCACTCCTCAGGATTGCTAAAGGTCTGTGGCACTGCAGTGTTTCACTGACCAAACCCCCCCATTGCACTGCCAGCATTGCTTTGCATTATGTGGATGTTTCTCCGCTGGTGATCACGGTCAGGCTTCAGAATTATTATTCAAAAAATATGGTAGCTTGGCTACTGAATGCCTTGAGAACTTGTAGCCTCCTGCTCTGTTTGTGCATTGTGTACCGATAAGGTATCTGCAAAAATGCAGATAATCTAGATCTCTCTGATCTTAATCCAGTTTTAAATGCTGTGGAAGGCCAGAAGACCTTAAAAATTATGTGAGAGACAAGAGTCACTATTCCAAGAGTTTGTTTTCTGATTTTCACATTATAATTATTTTGTTACTTATTTAAAATTCTGTCATTAAAATAATATTTCTGAAAGCTTTATACATTTTCACAGATTATTACTATCTTTAAGATAACTTTTTTATGTTCTTGAATGGAATATACTGAATATGACTAATTGTTTTTAAAGTTATCTCTAAATTTTGACTTTATTTCAGTGGTCTTTTGCTTAGAGAACGAGAAGAAGAACTAGGCTTTTTGTATGAAAAAGTAAACAGGCAAGAGATGTTGTGTAAAAATGGAGATAGTAAGATGCAAGTTATGGATGAAAAGATCAGTTTTCTGAAGCTGAAGGTAGCTGAGAAAAAAAGAGAGGTTAAATTGTGTTTTAAAGAGCTCACAGTGAAGAATGCACTGGATGCCCATCTGATGAGACTCCGGATACAGGTTGGTGCTAAAGGAAGCTATTTTTTACTATCATTCTGTATTTTAAAATTTAAGGTGATTTCATAAAAAAACAAATATCTGGATGTACAATGTTTATTAAAACAGCAAGTTTACTCTAGCAAAACAGTGATACACGTTTTTAACTTCACATATATGAGTTTCTATGCTTATGTGTAACTGGATCATGCTCTTTGTTTCATATGTGCCGAATGTTTCCTGGGTATGGAATTCCAGCTAACCCACCCCACAGCCTGAAATGTCAGTATGACTAAACTGGAGAATGGGAGTCATGGGGAAAAAATGGGACTGTAGATAAAATTTGTTAAAACTGTATTGATGGAGTAGGTGGAGGGGTGGGAGATACACTTAGACCATCAAATTTCTAAAATAATACTTCAATTCACACTTGACCCAGAGTGTACCCTGGAAACTTTGCTGCCTACGATGATATAATCCACATATATTTTCTTTTGCACAAAAACAGTGTAAGTTTTAGTTCTAGTTACAAAATAGCATTTAACAGCTAACAAACTGAAGTGCTTGGGACATTCTTTCCTTGCTTTCTGAAATGGCTCATTTACTTTTGACCTTATCTCTAGATGGTAATTTTTCCCATACATACTCTGTTAGTGCCTGCACAAAATCATAAATTGGGGTGTACCATTGCCTTTCAAACTTGTATCAATGGGAGCTGCTTGCACTATTCTCTTACTTCTGCCCTTTTGAAGAAATTGTATGCTCTGCTACAAGAATAAAACATAGCACATGTTTTAATGCCTCATGCAAATCATGCCCCAAAGACCTCTACAGGGCCATCACAGATTTAAACTATTAACCCAGGCAGTATAAAAAACAAAACCAAACCAACCAAACAAACAAAAACCCCTTCAACAAGAAAAAGTTTCATGTTTTTCATGTGAAACTTAAAATCACTATTAAAGGGAGGCTATTGTTGGAGGTGCTTTAAATCTTTTTGCAATGTTGACATAAAATTAAAAAGTAGGAAAATACAGAGTGATGTGATATTATGCATGCAGTAGTCTTAATAAATGTTCCCAAGTCAGGGTTTTTCCAGTGAACAATGGCAAATAATCACTTATCAACCTTTAAAATTTAACTAGATACTGTGATTACTGAATATTACATGGATCAAACTGGCTGTTAACTCGTTCATCTCCTTATGCTCCACCATTCTGGCATTAATACTCTTACTCCCACTGCCAATAGGAATTAAGGCAAATGAGAAGCAGTTTCAAATTGCTTGGCTTTATCTCCGTAATTTAAATAAAAACCATAAGCCTAAATCTGAATTCTGGTGTTGGTTACCAAATTCACACTGCTAGTTCTTGTACAGATTACAGAGACCCCATGTTGAAATCTGACTCAGCTTCTGTTCAGTTACCACTGTCACAGACTGTCTGGATTATCCAGGCTGAATCCTGTACCTGTGCCTCTTCTGTCCTCCCCTTTTCCTACCCTTCCTGCCTCCTTAAGTCTTCATCAATACCAGACCTCTTTGAAGCAAGTGCTAGTAACATGCACTAGATATTTTCATTACTATCAATGAAAAAAAACTAAAATCAGAAATACTTACAGACTGCAAAAACTGACCCATAATCTCAGCAGCTGTAGTGCTCATTGGGAAGGAGAAAAGCCCAGATCAGGGCTGTGTGCCAATTCAGCAAGATCAAACACTTCACCTGGGTCCCCTACATTCCACATGAGCTGCTTAATCATCAAAGTGATGTATGTTCCACTTGTATGCTTTTCATCAGAAGCTACCTATTTCCACAAAATATTGGTGAATAGTTAAGCTAAAAAATACCATCATCTGAAGCAAGACCAGACCTCTTCTAAGCAAGTGCAAGTAACATGGACTAGGTAGGCTTGTTAACATCAAGGAAAAGATTTAAAAATAGAAATATTTACAGGAACTTCTTTACACAAAAAGTACCTGGTGAGACTGTAAGGTGGTTTTCTCTGGGCATAAAACTATGTAACTTTTAATTGGGACTGCACATCAAGGGACTGTTCCTGCTGACTGAAATGACCCATAAAAACTAATCTACCTTCATGCATCAATGAGAAATACTTAGCATTAATCATGAATTAGTCCAACACGTAGACCTGCTGAGCTGTCATGGTGCTATAGATGGGACCTTCATGTGTTAGAGCTCAGGCAATGTACAAGGACTGTCAGTTTATTTGAGGAATTTGGCAACAACATTTGTCCAGGTTTTACTACATGAAAATCTCCAGACTACATCACCACACCAAAGAATAACGGGACTAGTAGAGGGACAAAGGGTTTATCTAGGCAATCTGCTCCCACACCAGCGCTGGATGACCTGTCATTCCTGAGAGGGCTAAACTGTGCTTTCAAGCCACCACTGAGAAACAGGTTTCCCCAAGCAAACTATCCCAGTCTTTCCTTAACAGTGGAAAAACTTTCTTGAGCTTTAGCCTGGATCTTTCTTGCTGTGGTGTAAGAATATTGGTTTGCATTCTGTCCTCTAGGGACCTGACAAACAGACCATTCTTTTCCTTTCTGCAACATTTCATGTTACAGGAAGGACATTAATCATGTTCCTCTCCCATCCTTTTGCTAGGCTACACAACCTTGTTTCTTTCAATCAGCTCTTAGAGATTTTTCTTAGATCATTCTTTTTCTGCATTTCTTTTATTTTTGGCAATATAGTCTTTATTTGTCTTGAAGTGCAGTGCCTGGTACCTGTGGCTGAGAGTGAAAGGATTCATTCAGGCATCTTGCAGGTTACCTTCCTGCTTACACATCCAGGTATGGTGGCACCTTTCTTGACAGAAGAGTGATTCATCTTCATGTCAATGTATGTAACAACCAGACCCTTTTTAAAATAAAGGGCATCCAACCACTTGATTTGATTCTGTGTTTGTACAGGCAATTTTCCCTGCTTATATGTAACAGCTTGGATTTTTTACTAACTATTATCTTTTTGGTTCAGACCTTTTTTCAGACAAAGGTAATTTTGAATTTAAATCTTATCCAAAAAATACTTGCAGTCTCTCTGAGCTTAACCTCATTCTACTGATGAGGTACTTACTGCATATTGTAATCAAGAATGCATTTATTTTGCTTGTTTATGAGAATGTAATATGAAATATTGAAGCTATATAAAAATGAAATTTGATTTGTCATCCATACACCTGTGAAATTATCATAGTAGACACTGATCTGGTTTGGCATGACTCAACACACTGTGGTGCCTGTTATCCCTGTCTTTTTCTCTTCTTGATGCCTACAAAGAAAACTTAATTATGTGTTCCAGATTTATTCTTCAGAAAGTGAAGAATAGCTCCATTTGCATCCCCCCCCTTTTTTTAAAGTAGGTCTTGTATTTACCCTTTTTTAGTGCTGTACATACCTCACCTACCTTCTCTTGAGATTTCAAAAAAAGCACCCAATGTCCACTTTTTCAGACCAGTTGCTTTATCTAGACATGTGTTCCCCCTTCAACAATTCCACCCGACTGATTACAGTCCAATATAGAAAAACCTCTCTTCTACAGTCTTTTCCTATCCCCTGTATCAAATCCACTCTAAGAAAGTATTTTTTTAAATTTTAAGACTTAGAATCTCTTATAACTCAGATTGTCTTTTCCAAGGGAAACACTACAAATTAGTAAAAAAATAATGAAAGACGCCTGTAGTCATGTTACTTAAGCAGACACAGAATAGCATGGTTCTTTGCAAATGCACTTTGATACTTTTGGATTGGTTTGCATCTGATGGCTTCTGATCATACTACATTTAAAAGTAAGGCTAGTATTTACATTTAACATTAAACTTTTTAATGGCTTTTGGACAGTGGTTTTGCTGCAATAGTCCTTCTCTAAATTAGCTATTCAGTCCTGAAATATTTTCCTTGGTGAGCTGCCCCTAATCTCATTAAGATACCACTGCTTCCAACAAAGCATTTTCCCCTGAGTTCGTGGTTGAGAAATTTGGCCCCAGGTAGAAAAGAGCACTGGAAGCATAGCTGCATCCTGCTGTTTGTGCTGGCCCTGCTTTTACATTCTTCCATTCTGTGTATTTTTGGCCTTGAGTTTTAGCTATTTGTTAGCAAAATATAGCTTTCAGTACCTAGCTGTGTTCAGAATCATGGTTTGCTGAGGAAATTGTTCATTACACTCATCTAAGGTTTTTACTTTAGCTGCTTTTAGACAAAGTGCACAGGAGTGAGTTGTGTGGTGATTTTTCACTAGGAAAATTATTTAAGTGCTGGTTACATTCTGGTAATGTTCCACTGCCACCTGAGAATATCTGTCAGTTTTCTCTTTTCTAGTTAAATATGACTTGTTAACTTCCAGTGACAAACCTCATCCTGGCAACATCTAAACATTTACTTTATATTTTGGTGACTGTTCATAACTTTGAGAGGTTGGGACCACTTATTTCCTTAATCAGTCATCACCTGCAGTGGATGGTTAACATTTACACTTGGCTAGTGTTATGTCAGTGCTAGCTCACTGACAGACAGCCAGGTGCACGTCAGAGCACACAGCCCCACCACTGTCAGTCTTGCAAAAAAAATGGCCCTGGTCACTTCTTTAGTGAGTATTTACACTGAGCCTGGATGTCCCTCTAGCACATTCTGGGAAGCATTATTCCATGGGAAGGAAGGTCTCACATGGGAAAGGTCAGGGAACACCTGTCTCTGTGAGTCCCAAGGGTACCTCATTGTTCAGTGTCACCACTGAGTCACTTCAGGACACATGCCTGGGAATGTTAGTGTAGAAAACTTGGATGTTTGTAGGGATGAAACCTTCAGTACTGACCAGCAGGGAAGCAGGGCTTTCTATTGTATTCCTGAGGATAAAAAACAAAAAAGTATCCTGAGGACCAAGAAACAGGTAGAACTCAATTTCTGTCAAACATCCGTGTTTCCTCTGTCCCGCAACTGTCACAGTGCAGTTCTCTTTTAAAATAAAATCTTTAAATGGCTCATAATTTAATGTTATCTTCTCTTCTCTCCTTCTCAGTAGAAGGAAACTTGTCTGTTAAAGTCTCCAGACCAAGGTATGGGGATGAGTTTGGTGGGAAAAAATAACTGTTGGGGCTCTTTGTTTTCTAGTATTCTGAGTGCAGGGACAAGATTAAACAGCTGGAGGAAAACTATGGTGATGCCACAAATGAGAGCAGAAAGCAAGAAATGGGAGGGAAGGACCCATCTCCACCTGAGCTACTAAAAAGGATTGAACAGGTAATATCACTTCTCATATCACAAGCTATCCTGCTGTGCTTGACCTCTTTTAGAAAATGCAAATAGTGTCTTTTATTTTTAAAATAAACTTTCTGTAAGGGGAATCAAAATAATTATGATTGGCTATTGTGAACTCCAGCCTAGCATCTGCTTTCCAAGTCAACTGGACATGGGACATTTTGACTTCTTCCAGGAGAGGCTTGTGGGGGAGGAACTCTGTGAGGTACCCCTGGCTCTGCAGCATCTTCTGCTGACTCCATTCACATCACTGGCACTTCAGTGCAGACCCACCTCACTAGGGGAAGGCACAGAAAAGGCAGCAGAAGGAGATAAATGCAGAATAATAAACTGCTAACAAACAGGGTTGTCAGTCTTTGCTAACTGGCCATGAGCTGTTTCACCACTATTCACGGGCTATGAGCAGGAAGCAGACCTGCCAGCCTCTTCACAAAATCTGCCTGAGTGACACAGAAGCAAACACTGCCCCTTGTCAGGGCTGGGCTCTACTGCTTTGCTTCCCTGCTAAACCAGGAGCCACCAAAGAGACCTTGGTGCAAGCAGCAGCCAGGCCAGGCCAGCAGCTGATACCTGACTTCAGCACAGCTGGTGACTGCCCTGAGAGACTTCAGAGGGAAGCATTAGGTCCAATGGAAAGCCAGTTTCAGAGCCCTTTGTATGGGGGAGAAGAAGGTAAAGGAACAGCTTTTTCTTATATAGTTTTGTCTGTCCCATTTATAGAAGTACAAAACTCCTCCCACTGTGTTTAGTGTTTGGAGGGGATTCACCAAGGGCTCTGAAGGTGTGAGGGCAGTAGCAGCAAGCTCTGAGCTTGCTTGACACCTCTGAGTCCTTCTTTTGAAATCCAGTTTGTAAAGACAGACCCTGAACACAGCTGCTTGAATTACCTCAGCTTTTTGCTTTATTGTCCCATATTCCTTGACAGGAGGGAGCTCTGCATAGCTGAGCAGGCCACAACACAGCCTGCTATCACCAGCCTACTCATTAAGAAGAAGGTTTTCTTGGAGTCATGATAAGTTTAAATGTCTATTTCAATCTCCTTGGGATTTAAGGTCATTGTAGTTATAATTTGTTTATGGAGCCCATACTTTTTTTAGCATGAGGAGGGGAAAAGTATTTAAAACAAGAGCTGAAACTTTCCATTATGGTGTGAGTCAAGGAACCAGAAGATTATAAAGAAATTATGACTAGAAAAAAGCCCCATTGCTTTCAAGATATGCACAGCAAGACAGTAACAATGATGTAACCCCTGCTCCCAAAAGAGCCTAGTCTGACATGAAAGAATTGTACAACTGACAGTAACCAACTGAATCAATTTGTGCCTGATCCTTGGCAGAGAGTGTGTAAATTTGGAGAAATCTGATAGTGAAGGTGTTTATGACTGTTCACTGGTATTATTTCAGCAGCTCAAGGCAATCACAGAACACTGTTGTGCACTTTGTCCCATGTCCTTTCCTTACACTGTGTCCTTCTTGCTGCAGATGGAGGCAGAGCTGCTGCAGAAGGAGCAGAGACTGCTGAAGATAGAATTTCTCTTTGAGAACATTTCTGATCTGACAGACAGAATCCGTGCTGTGGTGGAGAACAGCAAGCAGGACATGCTGCTTTTCGCTAGGAGGGTAAGAAGGGCACAGCATGCTCCACTTGCCAGCCTGTACACAATGAAACAGTATCTGGGCAAGAGGTGATTCATTTGCAAATTACAAAAGTGGCTGGAAATGTTGAGAGACAAATCATAAGTTAGTCTTCAGAAATTACAGACATGAATAGCAACAGTAATACAGTTAAACCAAAACTATTAGGCGAATATTCTCTTTTAAAAATAAAGTTGCATCATAAATGGTACCTTTCACCAAAATATAGAATTAGTTCTTTCTGAAGTAGATGCTTAGAAACTTTGTAGGATCATCCTTTTGCAAATGTATTTAACAGCCTTTCAACAACAAACGGGTCAAAGACTAAAAAGAAATAAGGGGAAAAATAAAGGAAGGCCAGGTAAATTCTACTCCAGCATACAAAAAGATGACTTTGGTATCTGGCTCAAAGTTCTTTTGTTGTTTAAATAGGGAGAATCACACAGGAAACATAATTTCCAACACAGTTTTTAAAATATAGTTATTTGCTTTTAACTGCAATATTGTTTGGGAAAGACAAAAAATGCTCCCTGCCCCCATATTCCTAATGAAAAAGTTACAAATTGAGCAGAGCTGAGGGGAAGACAGAAAAAAAAATGCAAAGTAGTTAATGTAAAACAAGGCCAGGGTAGAAATTTTTCTTAGATGTTAGGTTTGGCACACATGAAAGCCTAAAACAGTTTTTTATAATTAATTTTAAACACACACAGAAATATCATGGTTATTAACTGTGTTTGTGAAATGATGGCCATGGGCTAATAAACTACTGTAAGAATGGCAGTGTGCCAAAAGCTGCATTCACAAGTGCTCTGGCTCTCCCAGTTCCAATTAGTCACTTAAAGAGTATTAAAGATTTTTGGTTTTTTTTAAATCATCTGCAGTGAGACTCAAGGATTTTAGTCACATTCCTTTTCTGTTCGTCCCCCTTCCAAGGATCATGTCACAACCCAAAGCCCCTGCATCAGCATTATCACTCAATTATCTCAGAGGAATTGGGCTTATTCCAGCTTTATTACAAAGTTAATTGTGTACAGACCCAAAAATAATTTTGATCCCAGGTGTTTGAGGGCTGGGGGAGTTTTGCTGTCCAGCTGAAAAGGACAAGAAGCAAAGACAAATGTGATTTTCTTTTCTTGTATTGGAGTAAATGTGACTTCTCTTGAGCAGCCAATTTTTTGTTCTAAATAATCACAAAAAATAAGTAATTTTCAAGAATTGAACTACTATTTAACACCTTATTAAGTTGGACTTATTTTCATGTGCCTAATGATGACCCAAGTGTCATGCCCAGTGAGTGCCTAAAGGGAAGCCTAACTACAATGCAGCTGTTTTGCATTTCAGAGCAATGACCTGCAGAGGAAGATAAATGACAAAACCCAGGAGATAAGGGCTCTTTTTGCAGAGTTATCCATGAAGCAAGAACTTGCTATTAAACTCCAGCAGGAAATCAGAGACAAAGAACAATTTGTGATGACTGCTTCATTGATGATAAGTCAAGGCCTTCCCCCTCCTAAGAAAGTAGAAAATAAACAGAAGATCCTGCACAATGATAAGATGCAAAAAGCAGCAGCTGAAGCCAGAGCTAAAGTAAGTTTTTGTCATACATTGCAAGAGCTCCAGGAGTCAGTGCAGATGATGGTACAGACAGAGACAACTACTCCAATAGGTTTGTGGAGTTTTAACTCTAGTCCAGCAACACTGCTTGGAGCTAGTAATTGAATCTTAGTGAGATCATATACTAAAAACCTCACCTTTGATTATTAAAGTAGTTTGTGTAACCATGTTGTGGCTGAAGGACAGGGCAGCCATCAGTGAAACACTGCTTTTCATTGGATTTCAAGGTAATGATGCAAAAGGTGGAGTGTGAGGTTCAGGAGAAATATGTTTAATGTCTCCAACATCCAAGATGCAATGAGCATTAGATCAGAAGCAGCAAAAAATCAGATTGCTGAGCAATACATTGAGGGTAGGCAGGGCAGCATGGCAACCAGTGCTTGAAACCCTACCCTGCTGGACACTGCTTCTGTCCTTGAGATGGTCAGTGATCCCAGAGCAGAGAGCTCCTACATAATAATAGTTTAGAATAAGAAACTTCTACCATGAAACTTCTCATGCTGAGAGTTAAGTTTCCTTTCAGTGCTGTGGATAAAGGCCCACTCTAGTAACTGTACTCAGGAACAGAATTGTTCCACAGATGTTCTGTGCACAGTTACTACATCTTTTAAAAGCTCATCTAATCTGTTTTCTTGACAAATAATAAAAGCATAACAAGCTCAAACTGTCTACTATTTAAAAGGACAAACTTACATCTATGTGGTCAAACCTCTTGCTTTCCTTTTAATACCCCTTCCCCTTTCCCAGCTTGCCAGGGATTAGAGTAATGGTGTTTCAGATGTCACAGATTCTGTACACTGGCACGGGAGAACACTGGAGTTCTAAAGCACACAACCCCTGTGTGACCAAGCTGTGTTTCTCTGACAGCACCCTGCAGAGGAGGAACAAGGTGCAGTGCCTGGCCATGCACCCACTATCCCTGAGGAGGAGGAGGAGGAGGAGGAGGAGAGGCTCCCACTGTTGCAGCCCCACGTGGTTCCCTTCAGACCAACTGAGCCCAGCTCGAGTCGAAGACATTTCAAAAAGCCTCCTGCAAAGCCATCTGAAATGTGAACAGACAGCACCTGAAGCAGGAGAGACCATTACCAGCTGCTGGATCACAAGGGTCAGCAGCATTTACACTGCACTGAAGGAAGATCTGTTGGTGTTCAGCCAAATTCCATACGGAAAACTAAGTATTTGTTCATGACAAAAGCACAGCACAGCTAACTAGTCAGTGATCCAGAATCCTTTCTCCTAGAATCCCAAATGCAGTGCAGCATTTCCAAGTGTCAAGAAAAGTGAGTGAGCCTCATGCTATATTTTTTTTTTTTTCCAGGTGAAGTTTTATTGCATCTGAAGGTATGTTATAATACATTCATTAAAAAGAAAAGGCTAGAAAATCTTCTCCTGTTATTAATATAATACAAAGCGGCCATCACTTAAACACACACACACATCAACATGGCTTTCTGCAGTGTGGGACTGGAGTCCTAGACAGAAATTCTTGACAGAGAAATTCTAATTATATTAAGACAAATATTCCTTCTCACTATGCAGTCACTGAGAATGCTAAAGCTTCACTGATGGCAATGACAAGGGGGTGACCATGAACTTGCCACATCACTCCCTGGAACTGGATCTTTTTATTTCATTTATAAGGAACAAGGGAGCATCAATGGAAACTACTCAGAGAGAATATCAGAGGTTGTTTTGAAAACCTCCCAAATATATTAAATTTTGAGGAGTTTCTCTAGTTTAATAATCTGGAATTTTGTAGAGTTTTTTTTTTTAATCCAATAAAGGCTGCAGAAATCCTGCATGGGACAACTTGGGAATTTTCTCTGTGTAGCAAAATGCTATTACCATTTTAAATTAATATCACAGTTCAGAACTTAAAAGAGCAAACAATATTGGCTCAGTTACATACAAACAGAAGTTGAAAACAAAGGAAAAACAGCCTGCCTGATTTCTTTCTGAAGCTGAAATTTGAACTGTAACACTAGAAGCTGTAAGAATTATGTAAAACTCTGTCCAAGCCACTGTTAAGATCAATTTCTAAAACTTTTTTCTTATCCTATATTACTTACAATATATTATACACATCTTTAAAAAACAACAAAAAAACTCTACAAACCCCCAACAAAATCTGTCACATGCACTTTAAGCAGATTATATTTCGTGCTAATAACAAAACTGAAAATATTAGAATGCAGCTTTAGAAGCAGAAGTACCATAAGATAACTGATACCACCACAAGGAATGAATACCTCTTTACTCATGCCTGACATAAAAAGTAATTTGTTATTCTTACCTGCTTTACACAATCACACCTAGAAATCCTTTCATTAATCCAAGTAAACAGTTACTGGTTATTGTTACTGTACAACTGGACAGCCTCTTCCAGCATTGTCTTGTTAAAAGAAGTGATATTTATACCGATTTTCACAGCATGTTTTGACACCCACTGTTGTTCCACTTCCTTGACCACTTCAAAATGAACCCACAGACATATTTCAAACCTGGGGTTATGTCAAATGCATTTCTCTAGGATTTATCTAGAAGTTAATAATTTCAACCTCAGTCTGTTGGGCCAAACACTGTTTTGAGTAGCTCATGTCAGTACTGGTGACTACCCAACATTGCAAGTTACTTGAGAAGCAACATTGCATTTAAATAAATACTTTTACAGAGGCACCACAGTTTGACAGCCTTCTTCAACAGCATGTTATTTCAGGAATATTTGAGACCCAGGAGTGTCATAGTGTGCTTGAGTGCTGTTTCCTCTACAAATCTTGCATTTACATGGTCTTGTTTCTCATATGGATGCACACCTAGAAAAACACAGTGAGGAAGTATTTACCAAATTGTACATGTACACTTATAGTCCGGCAGTGTATTAAACATCTTCATCTGCAGTACCAAAAGATAAGGGGTAACAGAAATGCGTTTTCATGCACTCACCAGCTTCCAGTGGTGCCCTTTGGATGCTAATCTGTGCCAAAAACTGTCCTATTAGTGGAATGTATGTAAATGATAACCTACAGTGAAGGAAGCCTCTCTGGAAGCTGGACTTCCAAACTGGATATCCAAATCCAGCTTGAAGCAGAGCAGCTGTGTTAGTGCTAGTGCACAAAATGGCCCAGGGCACATGCTCATATACAGCTACATGTATATATGCTTTTTCCTCCCCAAATGGGAAGATACCCATACATGGAGACTCTTGGCCACTGACACTTTCCATCAGCAGAAAGACAACCTATGTTTTCAGACATCACTGGAGTTTTAATAACTCAGTAATGTCAGTATAGGCAGGATACATTTGAGTGAGCATCAAAGGGTAACAATCACTGGCTTTCCAAAGTACAGAATTAACATTACCTTGATTCTCTATCTCTGCCAGCATGTTAGTCAGGTAGTTCAGTGGCAAAAACTCCACGGGGATGGAGAGTCTCTCAGGGATAGGCCTGCTGCACTGTAAGGGAGAACATTTCACGTTAGTTCACAAAGCCACATAGCCACACCAATGTTTCAATGTTTCTTTAGTGTGTTATAGTCCACAGAAAGCTCAGGAATCTCAACACTGTCAAAGCATCAGATTTTAGAACATAGCCTCTGTGCTCTTACCTGTCTGTTTCCCAGCTTCCCAAGCAAAAGTTTCACATATTTCCGTGCTATTAAGTTTGCATTTATCGGATGATTCCAGTACTGGCAGACCTTTTGACCAAGAGCCTAGTAAGCAAAAAACAAACCCCAAAACCTGAGAACATAAACATGGGAAAATGGAAACTCAGAAAGAGAAAAAGGGAGAAAAAGCTGACACAAAATCCAGGCTGTAATGCAGATATGCCTTGCTTTCAGACCTTGATGACAGAGGCTAAAAGGTCATCATATTTAGCCACGGAGCCTTCCTTTCATAGCCAGTAACCAAGAGATCACAATGTGCTCTCAAAATGTGGGAAATCAAAACCTCATCACTCAGTTCTCACCTCAGCCAGTCTGTCCCAGGGCCACTGTCCCACTCAACAAGTGTACTTAAGTACTAATTGAACCCTTATCCTTTACTGTGACGGATTTGAATCTATTCTTTCTCCAAAGAATAATGTAGATGCCCAATTCCTCAAAGCTCCTTCAGGATAGGGGTTCTCAGTCTCTGTCTTAAGGAACCTTAGACATACAGCATGCTGGCAAGGAAAGATAGTGGGAATGTAAGTTTGGATCCCATTATTCAGGTCATCATCCTGGAAACTGATAACACTGACTCACATTCCCAGAGCCAAAAGAGATTCACAACCAGGTTTCTCAAAGCTTCCCATCCCAACCAGTAAGCAAAAGAACAGGTACATACTATGAAAGTATCTCCACCTTCTGCTATTTTCCCTTTGTAGATCTTCCCTCACCCCTCCCCTTCAGCTGTACTGCAATGAAGACAGCTGTTCATTTTAGTAAATGCTGTACAGTTTAATGGTGCTTAAATCCTTGCTTCTGATTAAACTGAAGTCATCCACTGCATATAACCTGCTCAAAATAGTCTGAGTCACCCCAAAGTGACCTTTATGGCAAACAGACTATTCCCAGCATTTTTTCCCAAAGCTGTAAATAGATACAATAAAGCACTGAGTCTACTGTGCATAGCTAGCAGTAGTTGTTCCCTAAATCTCTCCCAGCTCAACCCTTCACGTCAGAGTGTGTTTGGAATGGAGTTCCCCACGCATCAGGCCCAGGCTGGCAACTCAGGGGCCTTATGTTGACCCCAGCTCACCAACCCTGGCCAAAAACCAGACACAGAGGACAAAGAACGTCCTATGGAGTTCTCCTCCTCTACCCCTTCTCAAAACTGCTGCCTAATAAATAAGCCTTTGTTGGAGGAAAACCCAAGCAGCATTTCTGGCCATTTGAACTATAAGTGACAGCACATAACAAGCAAACAATGGGCAACTCATGTGGAAAAAAGCCTGTTCTGCAGTGAGGCATTCCCCAAGGGGGATCCCTGGTGTTCCTCCGCTTCTTGGCATCTTGTGCTTCCCCTGAAGTCCTGTGCTGTTCACTAAGAGCAAAAGGGGAGAAGTGCATCTCCCATTCTGCTGGAAGGTTTTATGGAGGACCAATAACCTCTTGTGGCCACACAAATCACCTTGTCAGTGGGTGAGACTGTGAGGTTTAACTGAGGGGAGATCTTGTAATTCCTCCCTGTCACAAAGCTGTGGTATGATATGACTTTACAGCTTTTATTGTACCAGCTTTTGAGCACATTTTTTGAAGTGTACAGAACCAAACACATAGGTCACAAGTGAGAAAGACTCTATGGATGCCAAAAACACCCATAAACCCCCTTTAAACCCTCAATGCCTTATGCAAATGAGTACTCAGAAGAACAGTGCCAGTCTTGTTAACTTCTGTAGAATATTTGAGACTGTAAAACACTATGGACAAATCTATAATTTAAGTTATTAGGATATCCTACAGTCCAGGAGCAGCAGATGGAGAAACTGTGGATGCTCTGGTTATATTTGACTCAGGCTCTATCTGAATGACAGCCAAGTCCTTCACTGGTTTAACCCTATGCACAAGGAGGAATCTCCTATCAATTCCAAAATCCAAGACATTGCATCTAAAGCCATTAGTTACCTCTGGAAGCCTCATGACAATACTAAACTTCAGCTTTTCATTCTGTTCAGTGTCATCCAGATCTATAAGCAACAGGGGAAAAAGCAAATCAAACAAACAGCAATCACATAACAAACTTTCAACTTTCACTAAAGACATTCTAAATAAACATCACCTCCTTAGTGAAATGAAAATTTCAATTTAAAGTACAGGCTATTATTTGCATTATACTACATTAATAAGGACTGTTATTTACATTTATATCATGTACAAATATATTTCTGTATATTTGTTCAAAACTTCACCATTATATATTTATACAGTAATTCAAATGCACTTTGACTAAGTACAGCTCTCCAAGTTTATAATATTTCATTTATCAAGATCAGGCACAGATTGGTATTTTGTTGTTGAGCATATTTTGTTGTCTCTTTTCTTAGACAGTGGAGAAGTAGCACATCAGTGGGCACAGCTGGCTCACGTTCAGCCACCACTGACCAGCACTCCCTGAGCAGCTTTGCAGCCACTCCTGCCCCAGCCTGTGCTGCTGTCTGGGGTTGTTGTGACCAAAGGACAGGACCCAAAACTTGGCCTTGTTGAACCTCACACAACTGACCTAAGCCCATAAAGCCTGTTCATATCTGTCTGCAGAGCCCTCCTACCCTTCTGCCCACCTTTGTGTCCATCTCCAGACTCACAGAGGAAACACTCGATCCCCCTGTCCAGATCATTGCTAATGATATTAAGCAGGACTGGCCCCAATACTGAGTTCTGGGGAACTCCACTGGGCACCAGCCACCAGCTGGCTGTGACTGCATTCACCCCTCCCTGGGCCCAGCTCTCCAGCCAGTTTTATCCCCAGTGAACAGTGCTCCCATCCAGGCCATGATCAGCCAGTTTCTCCAGGAGAATGCTCTCATCCACTGTGTGGGTCACCTCCTGGTCATAGAAGGAGCTCAGGCTGGTCAAGCAGGACCTGCCTTTCACAAAGCCTTGTTGGCTGTGACTGATCCCTGACTGTCCTGCACGCGCAATGTGATGGCACTCAAGATGATCTGCTCCATAATGCTCCATGGCTCCCAGCCATGAGGTCAGCATGACAGGCCTGTTCCTCTTGTTCTAAACATAATTAAGCAAAAGCTGAGGGCTGGATAACAGACTAGTTTCCTCACACACAGGTGTGCACTTCCACAGAGTCAGAGAAATTCCCCAACAAATCCTATGATGATCTTTAGTATTTGTTTTTCTAAGAAGTCTCAAATGGAAAAACTATCAAATCAAATTCTCTCCACACAGATATTTCTTTGTGTGCTGTGCTAAGGCCCATCACATAGCCTGAACCCTAACTTTCTCCTTTCAGGTAGGCAAAAACATCAGCTGCAACCCTCACTGAAAGAACACTCCAAGAAGAGCTGAGTGTCCTGGGCAATAAAACCTATGTCTGAGGGGACTGGTGTGAAGTACAACACTCCCAATTAGCTGGCTGGTAACAAATGAAACACCATGTTCACTGTACCTTTCAGCAATTTCCTGACACATGTTTCTGTCAATTGCAAGATCCCATTGTCAATATAGTGCAGGAGGGTGTGCAGAGGGAGACATCGAACACCAAGACCCAGGTGCAGAGTGTGAAACCCTATGAAAGAGACAAACTTGTTTGGTACAATATGTAGGTTTTTCTAATTCTCTATTAGAGACTGGAATTACTCTAGCTAAAGCCATCACTTCCCTTGACTTCTGATTGTTTACAGTGGCTGAGGAAATCAATTTATCAGCTCAGGTAGTCTTATTTAGACATCCTTTAAGTCCTCTCAAGTACAATCTTGTCAGAAAGAAGAAAGCTAAGGGGATAGAAAACGGTCATTCAAGTTACACTGTCATTTAATGTCTCCAGCTGTTGCCTTACATCTGAATTGTTCTATTAATTTTATCTCCCTCTCTCCTCCTAATTAATCAAAACCTGAAGCCTCATCACCCTCACGATGTCACAGAACAGGAAATAAAATCCAGAAAAATTCGAACAAAATTGGAAAGCATTAAGATATTAAGATGTCAAGATGACTTTTCCTAATGAAAATAAGCAAGTGCTTTGAAAATGCTCTAAACAATTATGAGAAGCTCTAGGAAATGAAAGTCTATTATCAAGACCAGCTTTTCCATCCAGGCTGGAAGTAATCCCTTCAGGAAAAAATTAAAAATTATTAGCAGGGCAAGAGCATGAGAAAAAACACTATCTGCTAGAGGATAGGATTTTCCCTTGTAGCTCTTGACACTGAAATCCAATTCTGTATATATATATATATATATATGAACAGTTCTAAGATAAGACTGTATCCACACATTCCACTGGAAATCTCTGTTTAGATTTCTGTTTCTACTAACTATTTTGTTTTGCTTCATTTCACTTGTACAGATTTATCAAGGACCTTCCCCTCTATAACTGACTTGAACAGATGTCAATACTGCCAAAGCTAAATTGACACGTGCTGCAACCAGTGCTGTGCTGGGAGGAATTTATAGCACTGCTCTCCTCACTCATGAGCAAAACAGCAAAACACAGAACTTACCAGGAGGTAAAGGTATGCACATGCCATTTGCTGCTTCCAAAATCCGACTCATGATGTGGAACACCGCAAATTCTCCTGCAGTTCCTCTCTCATCACTGTAGTTAACAAAGTAGCAACACATTAAGAACCCCATCACCCACACTCTCCTGGAGAGAGGGTCAGTTTGCCATACTGGGAGCTCACTGAATGCCTGCCTTTGGGATGAAGGGCCATGGGATGCTGTCCTGCTTACTGAGGTGTCTCAGCCAGCACCAGCTGCCAGTGCTGCAGCAACAGGTGAAAGGGTGCTGGTGTAAGTGACCTGGCTTTTACAGGTGTTTAACACCCACCACGCAGCTTAGGACCACTCCAAACTCAGCAATTTGAACTCCAGCCATAACACTGCCTGTGTGTTTAATAATCACACCGGCCTAGAGAGGGCCAGCAGGATCCTTAGGAAGTGTAAGTGACAGTAACATTGACAGCAGCATAAGCATTGACTGTTCAAAGGAGTACTACTGATGAAGACCAAAATCATTATGCCCATAATTAAAAAGGCAGGCTGAAAACTTAAACAAATCATTTGCTTACAAGCAGAAGATACAGGAATGAAGCTGGTATCTCCGCCACACTTCTTTCATTATTCGATGCACCAGATTCAGCTAAAACAAAAAAGAGAAGACTGGATGTTTTCAGGAGCATGTGTACAGCAGGCCCTTGGCCTTCATTCATTCCACACACCAGTTTATGTTAAAAACTTTTCACGGGACTCCTACTAAGTCTTCATTTTTTTCTCTCTAGGGTCTTAAAATGTAAAGTTATTAAAATCTGAATTGTAACAGAATTGCCCTATTCAAGCAGTTTAAAGTGCTTCCAGCTTATCAAAGCGTCATGCAAGACATACAGCAACTTAACACTCTTAACTGTGTTTCTTGAAGATAACTGATAGCAACCTCTTGCAGCAAATTCTCAGATCTGTTTGCCATGCAAAAGCAGCATGTCCAAGTGGCTGAGCATTTGGCAAGGAACAGTCCCAAGAGCTCAGCAAGAGTGGATGACGTTGAAGACAGTGGAATGTTCAGTTTGCCAAGAAAGGAAGGAAGGAGGAATCATAGACCTAGTCCTGGCAAGGAGGAAAAATGAGACAAGTAAATGCCTCTCCTCATCTATTGAGTTTCCTTTTTGTTCCCAGTGATGTGAAACAATCCCTTGGCCCACGTTGTTGTTCTTTGTGCTCCCAAACTGATGTCCACCACACACAGTCAGCATATACCAAAGCCACAAGCCCTGTTCCCACTTGGGCCTTCTCAGCTTCTGCAGCTGAAAGAGAAACCACGCACGGAAGAGTTGAAATAACTTCCTCATGGTTGTCATGTGCAACTACTTCCACATCTCAGTTACACAACCGAGACACTTCCTCTGCGCCTTTTATCTCTGGCACTCAAAGCACAGCAATCAATCCCAGGAAACTCAAGAGACTAGTCTGACCCCTGTTTAGCAAAGAGGTGTCACAAGAAGTTAGGAACCCTTTTCCTCCCTCCAGATGGTTAGAATCCAGGAATGCTTTTTCCCCACTCTATTTTCCCCTCACAGGCTTTGCTCTCTCCATTGTCTGACTCATCACAGGCTCTGAGCAAGAGAGAAACAGAACACACAGGAGAGATGCACATGCAAAGGCCAGAACTGGAATATTCATTTTCAGTAATGTTCCTGAGTGTTCCTCTGTACCTTGGCCAGAATGTTCTACAAGGTAGCACCTTTCCCATCCACCACGACTTGAGCCAGGCTTGCACAGCTGCCTGATGCAAAATAACTACCTAATATTTGCCATCTCCACACTTTCTAGATGCAGTGGAAAGATCCAATTTTTTCTTTCCAGAGTATAGCAAGTTTTCTTGGAAATGAGTGATTTCCAGTTTCCACAGAAGGGTCACAAGAACCACACCTGCTGCTGGAATGAATTTCACCTCTGGCCAGCATAGAGGGTGCAGCTAAGGCCTCTGCATCAGGAGCTGCAGCTGGATCTGGAGGACCAGTATTGAAGTGAAGGTTCTTACAAGCTCCAAAATCACCAATTATTACTTGTGTAACACAAATGGTTTTCAAGAGTATGCTACTCCAAAATAAGTATTTTTTGCTTAACAACACACCAAACTGTACAGCTTTTACAGGGCACAGAAAGCTAACAACTTCTTAATTAATAATCATCCAAGCTATTACAATATACTTGCATCTTAAATATATGAATATTTGTGATGTGACACCCTCACTAACAGCACAACTCACTTTGGAGATCAACATCTACCCTTGGCATTGTAGAAAATACATACTGAAAGATTACCCACATCTCAATCTCTTTTTCAGAACGTAACACAAAGATCATGTGCATGAGAAAGGCAGCATTATCTGTCTGATGGAAGGAGCACAGACAGATTCCTGTCTGAGGTTAGCCGTGGGGCAGCCAAGTAAGACCCACACACATACCAGGGGAGGCCATTTTTCACTGAGTAACAGACACAGTAAGAGTTTTTTTTGGGGCACATACATGAAGCCATTTCCTTTGGAGTACTCTAAACTAATGAGACAAAGTAAGACCAACAGCAAGACAGCACATGCAAGAGGGCACTGGCTGACAGTGCTGTCACCTTGTCTTGAGACATCTACAGTTCCAGGCAATGGTGCCAAGGAAACTGAAGTTCTCCTAAAGTAATTGGGAACCACAAGTGCTTAGCTCCTTTGGCTGTTTCTACAGGAAAGACTGCAAAGCAGTCAAAGGAAAGAACCAGGAGCAAAGGAGAAAAGGGAGTGAGACAAGGTCTTGATGTCTTTCAGATCCCCTCCTGTGCACTAGTAAGACACAGTCCTCCTCCTGGGGAAACTCAAATCCGAATGGTGTCTCTCCTGTTCCTTTGCAGCTGAGCCCTATATCAGATGACAGCTGGCCACAGACGTCAGGGGAAAACGTGCAGCTACTGCAGGGACTTGCAGAAAAATTTCATCAGTTTATTCAGGTCTGCCTGTTTCCTGTGCCATGGGCTGCCTGCTCACCCTCCCTCCCCTCCCCTTCCACTTGCTGTCAGAGCAGCAAATGTCACACTGCTTCTGTAAATTATTTCTCCCCTTTCTTGCCTCAGTGAAATGAAAAGAGTGAGAGAAACAAATATGGAGCAAAGCTAAGATAAAGTGACTGCAGAGGAGAGAGCCTATGCATACATACAACAACCACTGCAGGAGAGGTGGCACATGGACTGGGAACCAGGCATGCTGCAGCCCTGCAGAGCTCCTCAGCAAACAAGGAATTCTCACTGAAGTGTGTCATTCACACTTCACCATGTTACTTCTCTGTACACAAGAACACACAGTTCTCTGACAGCAACCAGCCTTTGTTTCATTAGAAACTCTCAGTGCTCCCAAATTTTGGCTTCTCCAACTTCTGCTTCAGTTATTTACACGGTGAATACACACCACAGAGCTTAATCTCAGCCACTCCTGGGATCCTGAATGTAATGTAAAATATTTTATGAAAGCAAACAGACAAATTTCAAGTCTATTCCTGTTTCATTAGTTTCAATAGCTCTGCTATTCACTGCTGATGCTACAGAGAACAGTGGGAAGACTGAAACCAGTTTGTTCCCCTGAAAAACTCTGAAACATTTAGGATAGATTTGAGATGTGAGAGTTTCTAATTAGGATGAGGGGAAACGCAAGTTTAAAAATGAAATAATTTCTAAAGATTTCCAAACAGTATCTAAGATGCACCAACAGAAAGCAGAAGCAATTTTTAGAGGCATATTATCTTTGTTCATAGTAGCTTTTTTAAGAATAAGCCTGTCAATTGAGCTGAAGGAATTAGTCCTGAGAGTTTGCTTGTGGGGGAGGGCTGAGATTTGTTCTGCAAGATTTAGTCTACAATAATTTAGCTTTGCAGATCAAGGTTGAATAGACGTTTTCACATTTTTATCTTGTTTTTACTAAAAGTGAACAAACTGTTATTACAAATTGAAGAAAAGGAGAATAAATGTTCCACTTGGGGTTTTTTAGCACCATTTTCAGGTACAAAGCTTTGGTTCATGTTGTACTGTTCCTATTTAATCAGCCACTAGTTTTAGTTTCTTTCCTACAGAGACACATAAAAATCTGCAAATTACCAGTGAAACAACTTGTGAAGCTGTTGAAGTGAGGTTTGAAAAGTCAGGAATGGCAGTGGGACTGCAGTGGTTCAGAGAACACTGTGACATTGACAGAGTAACTGACTCACACAGGACTTTGGAGGAGATGCAGGCATCAGTAGCCTCAAAGAAGATTCCCAAGGTTTTCACCCCTAAAGAATAGCACTGTTGGGAGTTTCTACTGAACACTGGGGCAGGGATGGCACAAAGAACAGGATTTACAGTTGCCATGCAAGCTTTTGAGGACTCTGTGTTCTGCACTCGAAGGACATGATCTTGAGACAGACAAAACCATGTACTTAACTTCTGTGCACAACAGTTATGGTTTTTGTAGGGTTTTTTTTTTCCTTTTTAAAGGTCTCTTAAGAGGATGAAAGACAGAAAAATAAGAATTTGGAAAGCGAATTTTCACAGTAGTTTACAAAAATCTCTTCATGCAACACTGTCTCCTGTCACATGCACAGCCCACTGAAGGCACTGGATAGGAGTGGTGGTGATTTACCCACATGTCAGATTGTAGTGACATATTTTGTTCATTTTTTATTTCCCCTGGTGGAACTTTCATTATTCAAGACCTGCAGCAATGTGTTTTACAGGAAACCAAATGGATGTAATGGCTTTAAACTTTCAGGATGAGTTCCAATTTTATTTCTGGGAATAGAACATATTTGCACAAGCTGTAAATGGAACCATTTCTTCTGCATTCTGAGTGACTGGTACAACTCTTTTAATAATATTTAAATAACATTAATTTTCTTTATCAATTTATATAATATTAGGCTGAAAAATATGTTTAAATATCTTAAAACTTAAAATTTCTTCCCACCAAACATATGCTATATACAACTGGTACACACCCAAGGACCTACAATCCAACAAATACACACTAACTCACAATAGTGACTATGAAATCAAACTAACCAGGTTTGCAACGTAATCCAAAACTATTTGGTCAATCTTCTTTTTTCCAACATATTGTAGATGTCTCATAAGGTGATCCTTCAGCTGAACAACCATCTAGGAAAAAAAGGCCAAAAATTTGTTGTCATTGGGCATCTTCAAAGAGACACAGAAACTGCAGCAGGTGCAGGGCCTGATCAATAGGCAATGGCTCAACAAAACATTTCCCCAAAACTCCAGTTCAGAGTGAGATCCCAAGCTACTATACAATCTTGCTAAACTCAGCAGCAGATGTGAATATTCAAAATGGTTACTTGGTGCAAATTCAGCAAAATGAATACGAGGTTGAACTTTCAATGATACTGAAAAGAAAAAGCTTACAGTTCTCACATCTCTCTGTGTAAAGCCAAGGGAACAGGGTGAAAGAAAGATTTAAATATGAACATTGAATCCTAAGAATATAAGTACTTATTACAAATGAATAAACCTGAGAGATTTTATGATAGAGAAAACTAACATAAGTACAATTTGTGGTAGTTGCCAAGAACCTGAAAACCAGAGTGATTAATGGCAATTTCAGGTTAAACATTAATTGTGAAGTCATTAAAGTTGGGTGTTTGTTAACATACAGTCCATGCCACTCCCTACTCTCTCCTTTCTGAAATAATCGCTGACCTCATGCAGCTTCAGATCGCAACTCAAGTCCATACTGGCTCTTTTCTGAGAATTACTAAGAAGCTCAAAGTAAAACTGCAGTAAATAAAAATCTGTTTCAAGGAACTTATATGTAGATTAATCTCAGTGTGTTAAGACAGATATACAGGTATGAGGAAGGCATAGAAAAAGTGACTTGCTTTTTGGATATGTCTGAATAAATGGAGGGGAAGGAATGTAGAGAAGCTTCAGAGAATGAGAGGCAAAACTTGGAAACAGGAAGATGAAGGAAAGAAGGAAAACTTGCCTCAGATGTGAACAAACAGGACAGTGTTGATCTGCCCCTCAATGCTGAGACCTTCTAGTGCATGCTGAAGAGTTAGTTGATTTTAAAAGTAAGAGAACGAGAGACAAGATGTGTATTTAGACAGAGAGAGGACAGGTAGGGATTTGAGACAGGATTTATTGCCCAGAAGCATACAGATGGTAGATCCTTTAGGGAGATCACTGGCAAAAAGAGTGCAAAAGGAGAAGGGACCTCAGAATTGCCATAACAGTCTTCGAAGTGAGGTAGAAGGAAAAAGAAACAGTAAAACAAGGTGTTCAATTGAGGAGTAAGATGATCTCTGCTCATCAAATTGAGAGAAGCTGTGGGCAGGAATTCACTTATGTATATTTTAAAGGCATAAAGTAGTCCAAAAATAACTGACAGATTAAGATGACCTCCCAATTCCTAGCCAAAGTTATACTGGGAAAAAGCATTTTGACAAATCAACTTTCTATTCCTGTTTTTCCCCTATGCCTTATGGTAATCTGCTAAAATAATACGATGGTGATGAACTCTAAAACATAGGAAATGCCATGTTTGCCCCCATAGCTACCCTGAGTGAGCTTTCAATCAGCACTGGAGCTTGGAAGGTCACTCCACACATCTGTGGAGCCTGTGCGTCCTCTAGTGCACACCGACAAAGGCACATACCAGTCCCATGAGCAACTGCTGCTGATAATCCTCCTCTTCAAACAGAGGTACCAGCCTTGCCTCTGAAACAAACAGAGCAATAATCATTCAAGGACATGGCACTACAGAAATATCACAAGAATCCAGCCAGATTCAAAAGTACTTAGGAACAGACAAGTAAACAGAAGCTGTGGTTTGATCTGCTCAGCTACAGAACAAAGACACTGAAGAACCATGGACTGGATAAGAGAAGTGAAAAATGGAAAATAACCCTTTATCTGCCATCTACTTCTTCTTTTTGATATTTAAGTATGAGTTATCACAGTGTGGTGACTCAAGAGAGCAAAGAGGCAGAGAGAACCTTCTGGTAAGACAATGTTAATGTGCTACTTAGATCTTGTTATTTACAAGCAAACCCTAGCCACTGCATGGGTTTTCCAAGGAAATCACTAGACAGAAAGTAAATAGTCCTCAAATAGAATCACCTCCCACTGATTCTCTCCCATGGTCTGGCTGTTTCTGTTACTGAGACTTGAAGACCACTATGAAAAGAACACAACTTCTCTAACTAAACAGAACAAGATTACAGTGTCTACTGAAGTAAATAACCTGTATTTCCTAATCAGTGCTTCCTGTTTACTAAAACAAAGGAAGAAAACCAATTCTCTATTTCATGATATAGATAAAACCAACTCAAGATTTAATGGAACCAAGTGCTGAACTCTTAAAAAATTTTCACCTATTTTTGCTCACCTTCAAATATGTTTACACCACCACCCAGCAGCACAAAGACCTGCACTGCTTGATTTTAAGGTACTCCAGGACTAATCTACAGGGAAACACTACATTGATGCTTGTTACTGGTTGGCAGCTATTTAGAAATTATCTAGTAACAGTTAAACATCGGGCTTCTTTAGCAATAAGCACCTTTGAAAACATTAAGCTGAGGTTCACAAAGTTGATACAAAGTCTCTCAAAGTGAGAGCCCATTGCAATAATGAGCAATGGCATGGATAACTGCTGTTAGGGGCTGGAAACGAGTGCCCTGAAAATTCTTGGTAATAAAATGGCCAAGCAGCACTTAGATAGATCACCATCATGCCACAGCACACAGTGACAGGGCACATAGAAGACACTGATGTGTGAACAGCAGGAACATAATACACCACTAAATTCAGTTTTACTTATTTTTGACAGAGAAACAGAGCATCAAAAAATCTCAAGTGTTTCTGGCCTAAGGAAATTTGTTACACCTGCATTGTGTTTTTTCACCAGTCCTAATCTCCTGCACAAATTCTGATGTTGCAAAGGCTGTGAACAAGACTCAACAGTAACATGGTGTCATTGATATTCTGCTCCACAAGAAAAATCCTGAAGAAGATATCCTTTAGCAGACCGAATTTTACTGCTTATGTTGTTAGATCCAATATGAACTAGGGATTTTTTTTCAAGCATTTCCTAGTTAGTACATGAAAGGTTTCTTCTCATCTTAAATCCTCAAACTCTTCTGTGCTGAAAACACACATAGCAACTGATTTTTAGCAAACAACAGCTGGACGGAAATATTCTAATAAACCTAAGTCTTACAGCTAAGGCCTGCATCAAGAAAGGTTTTACTTACCAGAGTCCCAAGTGTCCAGATGAGAAAGCACCCTGGGGTTTGAAACAAAAATCAGTGTGTTTCATATGCAATACTCTAAAGGCTTTCACAACATCATTAAAAACTCAAATGAGCCTTTGATCTTTCAAAGACAGCTAAAGAAATCTGAGAACAGTATATGTGACTAAATGTAGTAAAAATACTAGATATCCTTAAAAAAAATTCTGTCTAGGTTGCATGAGAATAACTTCACATCTACCATAAATTCCCTAGCACTGGAGGCCTGTATTTCTGATCATGCTGTAGTGATTACAAGGATTCCAATAACTGATCTTCACCAGGATAATCTTCTTTAAAAATATCTAATCAGATACATAATCAACTAATTAAATGGCATATTAAATCCTCCAACATACCTGTGCAAAATAAGAAGGGGTAAATATAATAGAAACCAGCACGTACTTTTTGGCATTTTCAAAAATATTCCTCAAATATGCTGTGGCTCTTCTCTCCTCTCTCTGGTTTGTAAACAAACAAAAATCCCAAAATGAACAAAACAGAAGACCAAATAAAATACTCCTTGACAGAATGAAGATGAAAAATTAATTTGGTTTTCTCTTTGAATGGAAATAAAACACAGTGGGGCCTCACACCATCTTCCAAGTGCCCATGCTCACAGGCACTCACACACATGAAAACTTTGTGACAATACAGTGCAAGCTCTGCTTTTCTTTGATTTCTTGCTTTATTTTAAGAGAACAAAACTTACAGGCAATCACCTTAGGTGAAATGACTGCAAGTCTCTGCACTTCTGATAATCAGATTTCCATTTATTTATCTTCAAAATAAAAAAGCCAACTCATCCATGCTTGACTTTGTAACACCCATTTCAGAGGCAGCTCTGGACAGTTCCAGTGTTTCACTTCCTCTCACTCACCTCTTCCGAAAGGTTTCGCCATTCCCTCCTGAGCGCGTTACTGTGGTAGTGCAAGTGTGGCTCTGCATACTTCACACTCTCCAAGTTTGAGTTGAGTTTCTCCCAGAAACCTTTGGAGTTTTGGAACTGCAGAGTGTTGCAGAGAAAGCATGAATACAGGCTGCCCTCTTGAAGAAATACCTCATCACCCTCCCACTAATTGACTGCAAAGATATGTGGTTAATGTAAAAGCAATCTAAGTGAAAAAAGTTAAACCTAAGCACCAAAACTAATTTCTCTTGGTGGAATGACAGTGGTAGCGCTTACTTGACTTGAGTCAAGATTTGGTGCCTGGAAAGAAACAAGTATTTCTGGGTCACAATTCATCTGACCTATTTTCATGTTTGAGATGGGAAGAACTGCACCACAGTACACTAGACTTATTGTCTAGATTTCCTATGACTGTAAAAAGAGCCTTAGGCTACTAACTTAAATGGAAATGTTTATGCTTGGTCAAATAAATCCCATTTCAGGTTTCTAGTAGTTCCAAACACAGGAATACCACCATGGCCACAACAGCTGCAGGATGCCACTATTTTCAAACTGCATTAATACTTAGACTGCAAACATCCATTAACCAACCTCAACAGTGCTTCATCCCAGAAAATAAACAAAATCCAGAAATTTCCATAGCAATTCTAAAGCATTTGACTCTAATGCTAAAATTAACTTAAACTCAGCTGTGAACAGACAGGAGGAACAAAATCTAAACAAAACCACACTGGTTTCCTGAGCTAGTTCTTGGACTGGGTATAAAAGTTTGAAGCTGCTGTTTATAAGGGAGCCAAGATGCAATCCTTGCTGAGGAAGAGATGAGATTAAGGCAATTCTTTTTAACAGTTTTAACAGTTTTAAAAAACAAGAGATGGTATGAGCTTAATAGATATTATGAGCTCTTAATAGATATTATTCCTCAACACAGACACTATAGTAACATTTGAATAAAGAGAGCTTTAAGCACACAATATTCTTGCACTAAAATAACTTATTGCACACAATAAACTTGCACTGACATACTGGATTTTGCTCTTTCTTCTCAACTATCCTAAAATAACAATAAGCTTAAAATAAAACCTCAAAAGGAAGAAACCACTTCCTACTATAAACTATAATTTGTCAAGGAAAATAAATTTCAAAGACTCAATCCTGCCAGCCACTTTCCTCTTGCTGCCAGTGCCTATTGTCACTTTATTATTGTAGCTGCAGCAGAGAAAATAAATCTTGTGTTTTACTTCATATTAGTTATATTTAGCAGCTGCAAACTAAGATCACATATGGCACCATATGTTCACTCTGTTGGACTTAACTCATGAGATCTCCAACTGCAGAATGTTGCCTACATGTTACCAGTATGAAACCAGAGAAATATTAAAAACAGCATAAGGGTATCATCTAGTGACCAATCCATGCAACAGCACTACCACTGCAAAACTGTGTTCAGACCACACTGGACTTGGATATGTGGCAGGGGGAAGCAAGAGAGCAATTTTCTTTCCTATATAAAATCTCTAACAGGAAGTGGAAGACTTGAGTGTTGTCTGCTTTTAATCCCAAAAAGACACATTGTATTAGATCTCATTAAAAAGTCAAAAGTTTAAAGGATTTTTTCAATTAAATCTATTATTTCTTGAGGATCATCAGGGAAAGGACTAGATAGAGAAGTCTTCATCTTAGCTGTTTATTTGGGAGACATTTCTAGAGAGTCAAGAATTAACACCTAAAAGACATTGTATTACCAGAAGTCAAAGCAAGGCCTTACCAGTTCGCAATCATGAAAAGCTCCCATGAAGCCTTTCTTAAGTAGTGTGTTTTTAACTGAAGATAGAGAGCTCTCTGCTACACCCCTTGGTAGACATATGGGGTGACAATTGCCTTCAGGAGGTCCACATCTCTCTGGACTGCAGTGCTGTGTCTCCCCAGCAGTGCTGGCATTCAGAGAGCATTGTAAAACATCACTCTGCACCTCAGGGGTTCAGCACAGCACAGGGAGAAACTCTCTCCTGGTGCTCTGACAACTTTTTGCACTATACATTTTCACTCTTCCCCTGGACCTCGTCCTATTTCCTTTATTTCTCTTTTTCCTCCTGCCTTCTCCCTTTCTGACAGAACTTATTTTCAGCCCTGCAAGTTTGGTTTGTGCTTAAAAAGGAGGGAAAAATTAGACTTATTAATTGCAAACCTTATGTAGAGCTTTTGTGCAATTGGACTAACTGTTCCCCCTTTCTCAGTTCATCTTGATGAACAGGAATGTAGTAATAAAAACACCTGATACCCAAAGAGCACAATTTTTTAATATGAATATGGACATATCCCTCCCAAAAGCTCTCCACAACTCATGAGATTGAGAACTCCAAAAAGGTTCTCAAAGTAACAATTAACAGTTCTCTGAAATGCCATAAAATCTCTGCAACAGAAATACTACTTGTAGAACCAGATCTGTCACCAGGGTCGGATGCCAACAATATGCACCAACAGAAACACCAACTGACCACTTAAGCTGTGGGGGGTTTGTGACACTGGTGTGGTACAAAACAGCCAGAGCATTAAACCTTACCCTGTGCATTAGCATCTTTGTCCTCATGCAAGAGTCAGAGCAATTTGCTGTCAAAAGTAGCAGGAAATATTTGTCTTTAGCTCAACTCTGACCTTTTCAATCTGTTTAGGTTTCAGACAGAAATAGGAAATGAGTTCCACAATCAGGAAGTATAGCTGCTGAAGGCATGCACCCCAGGGGCTTGAGATTCAATCCCACTAACTTTGACCTCTGTGAATTACAGGGACTATCTGCACACAAATTTTCTCAAGATCTGATTTTCCCAGGTGTCCCAGTTCTCAGGGCAGCCTTTCCAAGCAAAGCATGCAAAGCCCAATTCTTGACAGTAACCCCATGAATCTGTGCAGAGGGCAATTTCACTGATTTTTAAAAGCTTTTGTGAACAGTGATGCTTTATGGCTAATTATAAGCACATCTTTAAAGAGCTACATGGAACAACATTGTCACATGTCCAGAATCAATCATATGTGTTGCTGGTGCGTCTAAACTCCTCATTCTTTCTGTTAGCTCTCCACAACAAACTGCTTGTTAAAATTCTCTTTCAGATTTTGTAGGGGAGTGCTTAGGAAAATTTCAATAATTTCTCTAAACTGGAGCTGAGAGAGTGGAATGGGAAGTTGGGAAGAATCACTCATGTTGTTTTCAACGGAAAGTACAATTTCCTACCCAAACAGCCTGAACTCTCCCCATACATCCACTGCCCTTTCCAGGCTGTGCAGGAATTTGCCTAGATTTAGTCAAAGCCCTGACCTAAGCGCTATCACAGGATGCTCTGGACAAAACAAAATGAGAGGGTCAAAAACCATCCATACCAATGGCACCATAATGAAGTAGCCCTCAAAGCAGGCATGTGTAGACATATATAAAAATAGATAAATAACATATATATTATATATTTATATATTATAAATAAATATATAGTAATATTTACTATTATATTCTATATTATATGATATAGAATATAGAATAATCTGTTATTATATATAAATATGTAATAATATATATTAAATAAAACCCTACTTGTCTGTTATAACACCTCTGCCTTCAGCTACCAAAGTCATAAAGCAAAGTGGTATCAATCTGATTAACGAGAACTAATTCATGGATAATCCTCCCTGCTGAATAGAAGTGTCTTCAGCAAGGGAAAAAAACCCATTTTTGAGTCTGATTAACTGATATTTTAGTAAATGCATAAATCATTTCCAACAGGGCAATTTTCTGTTCACATCTATTTTTGGATAGGGCTGTGGGGACACTGCTGCATTAATATTTAGTACATCCAACCCACCAAAAAAAAGCAGCTACTAATCTGCAAATACAAATGTGGTTTTATACTGGAACTTACCTCCAACACAGGTAGAGAAATAATGTCTGTGGCACATATTACTCCAGGGACAACCTATAAATACAGACAAATTATTTATAGTCTTATAATTTAGCATTGAACATGGGACATCTAAATGAATCTCCATCACCCATTTCCTCTATGAAACTATCTAGGTAGCCAAAACTGTACCCTTATTTGTGAAAAAACAACATACTAGAACAAGGTCATAGCAGAGAAATTAAGACACTATTTAATCTAACTGTAAAGTCTTGCTTGAAATTATTTTACTTCTGCAATCTTACTTGTAAATCTTAACTCTACTGAATCTGTTTGTCCTGGAAATAACTGCATGATTTTGCTGGTTAAATGTATTCTTTACTCTTCATTAACCTCACATGATAAGGAATAAATTAATACTTCATTATGAAAACTGAGATATTTAACCATCCATTTAATTATAATAACTGTTCTTGGTTTTGCAAATGCTTTTATTTGTTGACAAAATATTTGACTCATGGAAAACACCAAAAAGGGTAAGACTCTGAAAACTAAAACAAGCATAAAGCACAGGCATAAAGGTATCAGTTTGGAGCATATCTATGGAAAGGTAGGACACACAAGTATAGGCTGTACTAAGGGATAAAAAACAGACCCTCTAGTTATTAATTAAAGTACCAGCTGTTATCTTACCCCAATCCAGTCATGCAGTGATGTGTAGGGCAAGAGTTTATCCAGGTTCTGAATTTCTGGACACATTCTGCAGTACAGGGAGGCTGAATGTAATGAAAAAATATTTACAAGGGCAAGAGTGTACAAACTATCAGTTAACAAGAGTAGGCTTCACTGTTTCTTATCTGACACTTTTTTAGGGACAAATCCTGCTGCTGTCTCTGAAACAGCTTCCTCCATAGTGGAACTGGTCCCATTCTGTGCACAAAAGGAGGAAGAGAAGTCCAGATGGCTGCAGGGCTGGGTCAGCTGTTTGGCTACAGCTCAGCACTGCAGGGGTCCTTTGTACAAAGACTCTGCACTGGCTAGACTGAGAAACCAGCTATTAGAAGAGTATCATGATAAGCCAAATCCTTTTGAAAAAAATGGTTTGGGCTAGAGCTAGAGGATAATAGAGCTGAGGAACCAATCTCCAGAGACCTAAAATGATAAATCCATTTGTTCCATTAGACAGAAGAATGCATTTGAAAAGCTTTACTGCCAATCTGATTTTGAGATGTCTACGTATCATCTAAACTACTGATACTGTCTCTTAATGCCACAAAATGCAGGTTAGTTAACACAAATAACCAAAAAGTTCAGAAATAAGAGTCAGTTTGTACTGCCTCTCTCCTTCAGTGTCAACTGGAGTATGCAGGAAAACTCAGTATGCAGGAAAAGAAATACCTACCAATGATAAATTCTTGAATGGGGTCAAAAGAATGACATGTTGACAGGTTCTCAGAAATCCATCGAATAATCTGTCAGAATGAGAACAGGGAGCTTGTCACACCTCTCTGTTTAAGCAAGTGTTGTAAGAGAGCACAGAAAATTTGGTTTTGGTAGTAACATTTTGCATGGAGTAGTGACTGATACAGATGTTTTCAGGACAGCCTAGACCCATAAAGGGGTTTAGGGCAGCCCAGCTGAGGAGCCTCTTGGCACTGCCAGGTGAATAGGGACTTCTCATTGGCTGATACCATTCATGCCCTGCTCCTGCTTTGTATAAGGCATCAGTCACCAGAAAAAAATTTAGAGGAGGTTCTTTTCCCACCTGCATTTCCAAGTCTTCTGTGTGTTGGAAGTAGAGCAGGGCACAATGCAGAGCTGCCAGTCTCTCACAGTCTCGTTTGCTCTTCTGTAGGAACTGCAGCAAGGCACTGTCACTGATGCTCACATTGTACAGACTTCCTGCATCACAGGCCAGGACTGTTGACACCCATGGGGACCGGATGGAACAGTTTTGTAGTGTGTCAATTCTTGCATTCTCACCTGAAGCACATTGGTTTGAGAACAAAAAGGAGTAAGAACATAAGATCTGCCTGCTACCAGTATTTTACTTAAGACTCCTATGCCTCCAGAAGTAAGAAAGAGTCTACCTCTTGCACTACCTGCCCTGGTGTTATGCTGAAGAGGAGTAGGAATGGTGGTGGTTCCATAAAGAAAGCAGGAAAGGAGCACAGTCCATACTCAGTTCTCTCCCTCCCTATTGCTAACAAAGAGAAGGTATAGAGATTTGAGGCTCACAATGCTGTTCCAAGGCAAATAAGAGTGTATGTGATGGAACACAGCAGAGCACAAGGACAGTAGCACAAGTTCAACACTAGAATTAGCACCTATTAGCTTGTGCAGGCCAGAATTGCTCACATGCAGAGTCATGATACAAACTTCTGTTGGCGGATCTCTTGCCATCAATCCCAATGGCCAGAACAAGAAGGTTCTGCTCTATCATTATTCACTGAAGCATCAAACCAAAACCATTTTATTTATGCTAGTGTTCACCACCATGGTACCATACAGGTACTGTATTTCAGACTCTTTGCATCAGAGAAATCAGGCCAACCATCCAGCAGTGATGCTTTCCACTCATTTTTGGCAGGACAGTATTTCATTACAGTACAAAGAAGGTATTAGCTTCCTGTGATGGTGCCCCTGCACCAGTTTCCACAATTTATGTCTCCATCACCCAATCAGAACAAGATTTCTGTTTTCAAACAAAGGTACCCCACTTCCAAAAATAAACCACTTCCCACAAGATGTGTTTGTTGGAAATGAAGTAACACGCATTTCAGATGAGACTAAATTAAATTGCATCAGCCTGATCAGGTGAAGGAAACACAGATTTCCTTTCCCCACACCCTCCAAACACACACATTTAGAGCAACTCAATTGGAGGAAGGAAATGTAAAATCAAATTTACATCTCATGTGAAATTTGAAAACAGTGGAGTACCAAGAACCATGGGCAAAATTGGGGGAAGGGAAACTGTGAAACCAAAGAAGAAAATTTCAAATTCAGTGAAAGGTCTTCTTCCATTTCATAACAAGCAAGAAGTATGAAATATATAAAGTATGAAATGCTAGTTCAACTTCTCTTTCTAAAATGGAAAGTAGCAAAAATTTAATTCTTATTTTTTCAGTATCCTTCCTTTGTCAGAACACTGTGCAATAAGGAAACATTGAGAAATACAACTTTCATGTAAAGAGGTATGAACAAGTTTCCACAACAACAATGAAAGTACTTAAAGGAGTTTTACTATACCTGTCAGAAATAAACTATAGCACAGCAGGTCAGGATGTTGAACGTTCAGGAGGTGCAGGAACTGGCCAGGCAAATAAGCAGCCACGTAATAGTCTATTTAAAGAAACAACAGTGGTCAATTTAGCACTTGATCACTTATTTGCTTTAAGAGGCTCTTTAAAATGATTCTCAACTTGGCCCACTTCTCTGTGAGGAATTGATTATATCTAGGAAATATAAAAGGAGTTAATTAAAAGCTACTGTTGTATTAACACAGGAAACACTAGCAGTACATTTGGGTTTCCAGGAGAGGATTCAAGAAACTTGAAATACTCAAGAACTCAGCCATTCAGAGGCAATTTCAGAGGAAGCTGCCTACTAATAGTGAGGCATTGAAATATCAAATGCCAAATACAAAAGGCAAGCAGAGGAAAAGCAGCAAAACAACACTGCTACCTAAAGTCAAGAAAAAATCCTTTCCTTCCACAGAAGAGTTAGCAATTTCTCTAACTGTGCAGCCCTACTACACAGAAAATGGCAATCACACAGGAAAGTAACACAAGTTACCTACCAAGATTCATAAAAGCCACTTCCTTCAATTCATGAGATTCTGTTCTTTCTAGAGAAACTGTAAAAGTTTTGTTGTAACCTGGGGGGAAAAAACATAAAACTTTAAAAACCTCAAACAATAAACATAATTTGTTACAATCCACCTATGAATTTATAGCTAGAAACTTCAGCAGTGCCCAAAGACCCAAACAGGGATATTTTGAGTCTGTTTTATAGAAATGTCTGCACAGACTGATTTAATCCATCCTGAACAGAGCTCCTGCACACTTAGTAGACTGACACCTACACAGTGCAGTTCTTTAGTGTGTGAAAACTAGTCATGCATTGCACAGCCTACATTTGTGTTTAAAGAAGAACTCCATCCCAGAGCAAGCTAGCAAGCAAAATACCTTTTCCCCAGAAAAACCCAAATACAAATCCTTTATATAGCTGTGTTTCACATTTTGGTAATCTTTCAACTGCTTTAAAGAATTTCCACTTTGTTTATCTGCATGTGCTATTGCTCTAATTTAGTTCAGCTCAGTTTATACAAAGGCCAGTTTCATATCTGCTCTGTTTGCATGGGCTTTGCATCAGCACAGCTGTTGTTTTAATCTAGATTTGTACCACACTTCTGGCAGCCAGTAAGAATGACACAATGCCCTCAAATTTCCCCTGTCTCTGAGAAAAGCTGAAGATTATAGTAACGGTGTTATGATCAGGATGCTACTTAATAATTCATGTAAATTCATTACAAGATCCACAGTTTACAGGACCACCAAGAGAAAAAGTCACCAACAGCAAAACTAAAGAGGCAGACGTATCAAAAGATACAGATTTTCATACAAAATACTGACTGAAGTTAGCTTGCAATGTGTCAGTATACTCACCATCACCACTATGTCACTTGCCAGCATGAGCACATGCAAGCTAAAACCAGCATTGCAGAATTCAACTGCAACATCGTGACTTCATTTATGCTGCAGTGACTGTTTCTTTTAACAGGGGTGGGAAGCTTCCAGCCAAGATTACAGAGACTGCAGAACAAACTGAACTCCGTAAATGTCTCCAAAATATGGCTTATGGACTTCAAAATGCGAGTTATGGACCCACTGCTTCTGTGGGCCACTGAAGGACCATTATTAAAATTCTCTTGTACAACGGATGAATCTTACATGAACCCACAAACAGCTCTGCACCAAACAACTCCATTCTACAGAGGTAATTTCAGACTTAGCTAGTCAATGCCACCATATTTATCCTCAATTTCTTCCTAGTACAGACCAGGATGTACAAGGACCATGGCTGGCTCCAAGCAATCCAGCAACTCTTTGGCTACGCATCAGGTGCGTGTGGGGAAATCAGCCCTTCACAGCACCGCAATGCACAGCATGTCACACACAGAAAGGACTTTTTCCAATTTGTTAATGCCTTCAAGAAGAAAAAAAGGTAGTTCACTCAATCCCACAATATTCCAGCAGCAAAACAACATATATGTGCAGCTCTGACATATGAGAAGCATCCTGACACAATAAAGCAGTTAAGGTAGAACAGAGACATATTGTGCACTTGAACACAGTTACTCCATACTATGCAGCTCCTCATTTGAGAAATAATTTCCCTCTTTGTACATATATCAAATAAGAAAACCTTGATAACGAGAACTTGTATTCTGATGGGAATAAAACAATACCCTTTATTATTTTAAAACAAAAACAAAGGTCTTAACTTTAAGAGCTAGAGCACCACTTACACAGCAACTATTCTTAGAGCCAGTGGGTGTTGCACCTCTTGCTGTGAAAATGACATGTTGAACTGGAATTCTAAACAGACATTCAAGCTAAGAGCTGTTGGCTCTATTTCCCATACAAATGCCTTATGGCATAAGTACAACACACCTGCAAGCTCCCACAGATTTCATTGATGTCTGTGCTCAGCATGCCGGAAAGTCTGGCTAGAAATAAGGGACCAAATTAATAACCATTTACAAGGCCACTGGTTTGAAGCTACTCACTCAGCATCAGGCAGGAAGTCTACAGCAGGAAAATCAACTCTGCAGCTAAAGGCAGCTGCTCTCTTTAAACATCAGCCACAGTAGCTTATTGTCTGCAGACTTCGGTAGTTATTTGTTTTGAAAGGCATTCTGTGACTCTCTCAGCACACTGACATTCTCCAAAATAAAGTAGAGTAATATGCACAAAACCAAATCAAGACTGTTTCAAATTAAAAACTAAAGATAATCTCTGAAAAAAGGTAAAGATTACAGGAATATATATCATAATTTAATCATCATTTAGCTAATGTAACAAAATCATGAAAAAACAGAGGAGGCAATCTGGCACAATGGAAACCTGGGTCCTGTCATAGCCAGCTCTTCTCTTCAGGGGAAGTACATTTTAGCCCTTCCCAGGAGAAATCATACAGCCAAAAAACTGATCAAGCCTTTCTCTCCACACACTGTGTCAATCCAGATATTCTGTATTCAGCAGCCATCAGATATGCTCAACAACATAGTAAAACACCATTTATTTTCTTTTCAAGTAATCTCATATTGTCAGCAGCAGGAATACACTACCAGAGCTTTCTCACACTAGAAGTGATAGTTAATTCTCCCTTTTCCAGCCCAAAGAATTCCTAATACCCTTTTTAGAAGAAAAGTCAGTCCTTGGGACAAATTTATTTCAGCCAGGATACTGCACACAGGAAGGTTTCCCACTCCCAGAATAATTCTACATCAGACTGGTTCTGTTTTGACCCCACTGGATAGTAACCCTGCTTTCATCTCATATAAAAACTTTAATCCCCTTACTCTGATGCTTTGGCATTCATGTTAGAAACAGCTTCCAAACCACATTATCCCAATACAATTGGGAAAGCCTGTCCACAAATATGACCATTCACCATTTACCTTTACTGAAAGTTTACAATTTAAAAGATGAAAAGAATATGATACTAATATAGGTATTGCTCTGTAAAAAATAAAGGCTGTGTACACAAGTTATACAGAAAATGGTACAGAATGGAACAGGCACAAGTACAAAAAAAGCACAGCTACCCAGTTACTTTGTTTGATTAAATGCCTTGGTATTTCACACCACAAGGCTGTGCCATAGCTGTGATATAGATATGGCTGACACACTTCACATTTCTGCCTTCTGGGGAAGGTAACTGCTTTCTTATGATGCAATTTTTCTTTCTGCTTATTCTTAGCAGACTGAATATGGTTTGATGCAGTTTTGCTTGGATATTTGAGTCATTCAGACAGACAGGGCATTTTGCCAGAGCACTTGGGTTCTTTCAGAACATGCATAATTTTTAAAGTAGCAGCATCAGGACTCATGAGGAAGACTGGAAAAGTTCCAGCAACCCACTGGATTGCTGTTTTATTATCAACAGCTCCCTTCCAGCACTGCAAATTTCATTCCTGTATGCTGGAGTCTTCTGTGCACACTGCTCTGTAAATAGCACAACATGCAAGCAAGCGTGCTCAGACTGAAGTGTCAGTGGGCAATGTGCAAGCTGACCACAGAAACAGCAGCTATGGGAGACCATAAATAGGATGTGCATATTTCAACTCAACAATATTGGTCCATGTGTCAACAAACTGAGCTACAAACAACCGGAAATAACAAATAGTGCTTTGTTAATACAGACAGAAACATGGCAGCCTCAGACCAGCAGGTGTCTAAGCAATGTTACATCTGACACAGTCCTGGCAATCCCAGTAGAACAGCCAGAGACTGAGAATACACCACAGACTCCTTTCCTACCCTTAGAAGAGCCCTCTGCAAATTAGAACTGGGTTGTGCTGCTGCAGGGAAAGTTTTTTAGCCTATTGCACCTGTATGTAGAGCCAGGTCTCCCAACTACGCATTTCAAAATCATTTGCAACAGTAAAAGCTGTAGCTGAATGCCTCGAGGTAAGAAGACTCATGTGAGGATATATTGGATGGACACTTATCTTTCCAGAAATAAAAGAGAAAAAAGATCTTTACCACAAAGGTTTAAAAATAAAAAAATAAAAAAAAAGAAAGAAAAAAGAATTTAAAAATTAAGTTCTACTCTGTTTCAGGAAACAGCAGTTACAAATCTGGCACTTGACAAAGCTGCCCCACTGAGACTCTAAGAGTCACCTATAATATGCAGACATTGTGTTTTTTCCCTAGGAAACTTTAGGTACAAATTCCTCATTTCTGTTCAAGCAAAAAACTCAAGACATGAGGCTGTAACAACATCTCAACACAGCATCCAAATGTCACAACTCAAATACAACATTGCACCAGGGCATTTTTGTCTGCTTTTACTGACTTAGGAGGGACTTGCCTCACTTAACTTCAGCCATCCAAATATCTCTCATTTAGACCCCTATTCAGCAAACAAAGAAATATGGATTGAATCATCCTCTGGAGATGCCTATTTCTCTCTAGAAAAAGTCCAGATGCCTAAATTTCAGGCAGATAGTTAGGTGACGGTAATCCAGTGTCTATGAACGCTTACTGCCTGCATTTATTTTAATATTGAGCAAATTTAATTGAAAAATATTTCTGAAGCACTAAGAGAAAACGTAACAGTGCAGTGTTCATCCAGTAACCACTGAATTCTGGACATGCAAAGTTAATTCTGAGACTGAAACTGCTTGGTCTCAGCTATTCAAGAATTACATGGGGTTTTTATATGGAGAGATTTCATCTGAAATGTGCTGAGTGTAAGAAACAGAGCTACTTTTCTGCTACAGAAGTTTGAGAAAGGAGAAGTGATTTCATTCAGAGTTCACACTGGCAGGAGCCAATAACATTTTTATTAAATGGGAAATTGCATGGAATATTCCAGTTTGAAGTTTTGCCAGTTATGCTTAGCCAGGGATGTCCAAATGATACAAGCAGGGATACTGGCATTAATATCAGAGGTGTGCTAGCAGTCCCACAGCAGGCACAGTCTGCACCACAAAGAACTTGCAGTCCAGATTTGCAAATCACCACCGAGGCACAACCTTTAGTGTGATTACCCACAATGTTCTTCAACAACTAGATACGGTTTAGCACCAGAACAACTTGCTCCAAACTGTTGGCTGCCTGAAATGGGTTGTGCAAGTCCTCAGTTTTAAACAACATTCAAGAAAAATCCATATCCAGCAATCTCATTTAGTAAGTTCAATTGTCAAATCATCTGTTTTACAGTAGTGCAATGAAAAGCACCTGTGAAAGGTTCCACACATATTTAAATATTGAGTCACCAGGCAGAAAAAACCATTTTATTTCACAATAACTAAACAACAGTCATGTTGGAGGATGACTGAATTTCATCCTAAACTCAAGGAGGTGCTTCAATCTAAATAAACTCCAGAGGAGTACAGGTTTAAAAAGGAAACATATATACAAATCAATAATATTTTCCATTATTGGACTGGCTGTTTATATAAGAAATTGTCTTGCTAAAAGAGAAAAAGCCTAATCTATGTTTGAAAGACGGAAACTTGACTTTCTCTTGCTTCTAATTCCTTCCCTCTAATCTTTATAAGCATGCAGCTTGCCTTAGTAAGAAAAAATCCATGTAAGGAAGCTGTATTTCACTCTATTTGCACTAATGGTCATTTCAGTACAAGTGCAGACAGCTCAGCAGTTCACTGGTGCGCACAGCAGGCCTCAGGGAGTGGTAAAGCCTCTCTTGCAACACTTCCCTGTACAACTCTGCTGACTATTCAAAGGTTAAACAGACACCATCTCTGTCTGCTTGTATGGTCTAATTCAGAAGCTGAAAACAGCTGTGATGAAGATACCTCCTGAGACCAGTTTTTAATCCAAAAAAGCTCATGGCATACATTAGGATGGAGGGAGACTCCAAAAAAGGTTTAAGAAACATTTTAGGTTTAAGGAATCATATATATACTAAACCCTTGAGCAGCACATACCATGTTTAGTATCACATACTTGGACCTTCTAAACACCACATACGAACAGCAATATGAAGCTCTTAAAGACTGCACTGCACATGCTCTGTGTACGTATGTCCACTCTTTAACACAAATTCATACTGGATCAGAAACCCAGACAAAACTGTCCTTGAATTTACTTTCTAACATAATTTTGGTCAGCTTTAACATTAGATTGCTTTAAAGTAACACACAGCCACGCTTTGGTACCTCCTGGGTTCTGAAACTGACAGGAAAATGCTAAGGTGTTCTTAGACTGAGAGATTTCACTAGAGGAGAGCATGGTACCAGTTCCTTGAAGTTGGGCTATCAAAAAATTTCTGGGTGACTATTTTGTTGTTGGTGTTGATATATAAAACCCTGGGTACTTCAGTTCAACTTCACTGCAGCTTTTGGAAGATAAAAAAAATTATTAAAACAAATAAAGCACAGTTGCCTTCTCCCTCCCTTCACACTTACCAGCCAAGTAAGCTCTAAAGGAATACAAATCTCACACTCATATTATAAATGTTTGTATTTTTGTGTGTTTTTCAATATTTTATGAAGAAATTCAGTAATCAATTAAGATTACACTGCATGATAATTACTAGTGGAAGTAATTTAGACCATACTTGTATTTATTCATTACCTGCTTTACTTGTGAAGACCTGAAGGTTCAAAGATTTAGATGCAACATCTTGATCTTGACAGTAATCATATCCAAAATTCACAAGTCTATGAGCAAATAAAGATCATTAAGTAAATCACTTCATCCACAGAGACTTATCACAACAAAAAGATCACCAGAACAGTCACCGTGTAACCAAAATATACTAATTAAATTATAATCAATTGCTCTGTAATGGAAGTTAAATTAGGCTTTAAACTATTTGCTCAACACTATTAGAAACAAGAATCCCGAGACTGCTTATCCAACTGTTATCCAACGATTTTGAACACACCTGACAACTTCATATTCACTTACTGCATTGTCCAACCATTCCTATACCTTGAAGTGAAAGCAAGCGCTCATGCTATATTAGAAATCCAAATACTTGTGACACCTAATAACTCAAAGGTTTTGAAGACTAGCTCTACAGCCCATGTCTATAAAGCTGCATTTTAATCTGCAACAGGGACATTACCTTTAGTGTAAATACTTGAAAAGAAAAGCACAAACTCACACTCACATCAAACTTGTTGTACCATGATATTTTCAGTCTCATGCTGCCTATGCTTTAATGTTTTTACATATCTTTAAATCTACAATGCCTATTTTCACCCTGCAAAACATGCAGCAGGGTGGTTTTTCTGTTCGGTTGTATTTTTTTCCAGAAAGTAGTTTTGAAAAAAAAATAAAGTAAAATACAATACTGAAGTTCTTACATTGAAGCTTTTAGCTGTGTTCTTTCATCACCGACTGTAAGAGGACACAGTGCCCTTTTATAGGGCAACCTGCACATGCAAAAGTACCCTGCTGAGCTTTATGCACAACACTGAGACATTCCAAGAGCCACAGCTTGGTCAGGGTGGAACTCAACTAACCTTCAGCTACTGATACCTGGCCTAATAGCTCTGGCCTCCCTTTTTATTCACAGAAATAAATGGGCCCTTTTGGAATGTAAAGATCGATGAGGATTATGAGAGTTAAACCCTCCTGACGATATTTTTCCCCTCGGGAGCCCTCAGGAGATAAGCTCAGATGCAGTCATGTGCATGGCAGACAAAGAATCAGACAAATCTTTGTCTTTGAAAGCAAACTGCTGAAAAGAGCATGCTGGAGAACAGAGCATAGGCAGTGTCTTCACAGGCTACAAAAAGGTGCTACTGGTTACCTTAACTGCCCAATAAAACTTGCAACAGCAATTAAAAATGCAGAGCTTCCCTTGATAGAAATTTTGACATCACCATTACAGCATGCCCAGGGTTAAAGCAAATTAATTTAAATAGGTTCAGCATACTCAGAAGGTTTAACTTATAGCTAGCTCTTCAGACAAATAATTTTTTTAAATGGCACTAAGAAGCAGTCAAGAATTAAATTACTTTTTATAGTTGACCCTGATGAGAATAAGAACTGGAGGTCTGGACGTTATTCTCATGTTATTCTCAGGTTCCAGTACCATGTAGGCAACTCCAAACAAAGATACTGTGGTTTGAACAAATTTTACTTGGGTTTGTAAAATGTTACCATGTATATAAAAAGGAAAGCAAGCCAAAACATTAAAAAAAACAAACAACTTACTTTAATTGTGTGTCATTTACAGCAATATCCAGGTGTGATTCCAGCTGTTAAACAAAAAAGAAAACAAACCTGTTCTTTACAGTGGCCAATATACTATGTTTAGCATTTCAGACCAGTAAAATGTGTCATAGTCACATTTCAACAGGTTAAACATTTTAACAAGTTTATTTATCTTCCTCTAACCCTTACAGTCACTTCAAAAACCCCCATAAAACAGAGTATTTTTTAGAAAGAGAAAATAAATTGCTGCAGTGCAGCAATTTTCAGGCACTGGGACAAAGGTCTAATAACAATTACATGTTGTAATTTTTATGTTCTGTTTTTTGTACTTTGTCTGCAGCAAACATTCCTGTCTCGCTTAAACTGACACAAAATCTGTACATGGTTTCTTTGTCTACTGCACTTGATAAGCCTGCTTTTTCAATAACTGAGTATAAGATCAGTATAATGTCATGAGTGCCACTTACTGCCTTCTAGGTCAAAAAATGTGTAATTCCACTGAAGTTACCTTGATGTGGCAAAATCTGAATCTGACTGAATATATTCTTGACAAGAAAATAATGCAAAAAAACCCCCAAAAAACTAATGGAAAAACAAACTCCAGTTTTCATCTGAAAAATTTTCAACAATGAAAAAGACAAACAGATCTCTGTACCAGCACCTGGAAAACATAATTACATCCCACTAAAAATCACTATATAATAAAATACTAATAACTTACAATTGAGTTAAAATTTTCATCGGGATAAAACTGGACACACCTTAAAGTACTCTTTGATTCCTGGAATTAAAAAGGATGTGTTTCATAAGTAAGAAAGCATATTATATAGACTGAGAAGTGATTGGATACTCAGCACCATTCTTCACATTCAATCTGCTTTGCTAACAGATATGCAGAAGTTAGGGGACAAAAGAATTTTAAAACCACATATAACCCCTCACAATAGCACTATGACATGCTTCCTTCCTGTCCCAGATCATTATCTGCCAATCATATATAATTGCGTGGGCTCTCACTTAAGCACAGCAATACACAGTCTCACACATTTTAGAATTTTTAGAAAGTTAAAAAATGTTCTCCATATCTACCTATATGGCAAAAAAGAATTGTATCTTACTTTGGTCAGTTCAAAAAGGGTATCTCAGAATCAAAAACATAAATACATTTCTCCATCACAGTTCACTTCCTGTTATTTCCTAACATTCACTCTTTTAGTGGCTAAGAAGAGTAAAGAAAAATCTTTTTTTATTTACAGAGAATGCATCAAGTGCAAATAGTACCTTGGACAAAATAAGAAATCCAAACTCTTTCTTGCCAAGAACCTGTCCTCATTTGGTCACTCAGTAAGTTTGCACACAGAATGCTTTCTAGATGTGAATTCTCTACAAGAGAGACATTATACTCACAACAGTTTTGGATAGATTTAGGTATTTTTGAGTAAATTACCTTTCTAAAGCAAAGCCCACCTTTTTTATAGAAAGCATTAAAACCACCACTCTTCTTGCAACATACTCAGCACAACAGCAACTAAGGCAAGTTTGGCTTTTGCTTTAGGTTTTTGAGGAAAGAACAAAAAAGACCATCCTAATGAAAACAAACCCCTACTTGCTACCCCACACACTAAAACCTTCACTATCACTAGACAGGCAGGAACAAAACTGCAAGAATGACTTTCAGCTCACCTTTGGAACAATGTAGAAGAGTCTTTGCTCCATCATATCCCACTGTGCCCAAACGAGGTCATCTACAACTTTGGCTCTTGGAAGCTGACCTGACTTTTGAATCACCTACAGGGAAAGAATAAAAACATTAGAACCCATCAAATAAGGTTTTGCAGCAATTATGCACAGTCTGTGCTTTAAAGAGAAAAGCAGTGAGAAAAGAGTCACAAATAGTAAGGAGCTTGGAAGGAACAGGTTCCCTGTGTGCAGCATGAGGCCCACCTTTGGTGTGTGCAAGGTGCTCAGTTTAAAGAGATCAGAAGCACAGTTTTCATCTTTTCTTTCAGTCTTCCTTGCTTGCAAGAAATTCACCACTTAAACTGCTCAATGTGAACAAAGAATAGCAGAGGCACCCTTCCCCAGAGAGGAGGGAAATACCACAGTCAGTTCAGAATCAGCTACATTAACTACTGAAGGGAGATGTGTCAGCTCCAAAAGAGATTTCTATGCAAAGTCTCAGCTATGTGAGAGAGAGAGCTGGGGTAGGGAAAAGGCTAGAACTGTAGAGAACGGTTGGGATTGTGTACATGCACAGTTGAATGATGTGGGGAGATTTCATGTCAAACAAAACAAATCTGTTTGTCAGAAGGACATCAGACCAATCAGTTTTCTGATTATACTTAAGTCTTTACTCCACAATTGTAGTCTAGCATATAAAATCCTTCTGCTTGAACCCATGATAAATTGAGAAAACCATGGAAGATTTCAAGGGGACAAAAATCAGGTCCTTACCTTTTCCTTCAAAGCCTACATTCACCTCCATAACACAAAACATTGGTTTTCATGACAAAATTATTTACTATATTAGACAAATGTTCATTAATAAGTCTTTCAAGCAGAACATCCACAATTTGTTGAAGACAAATTCATGTTAAAAACAGGAGATGAGGGAAAACAGAGATTGGACATTCACTGTACTCAGACTGTATCTACGTTTTACATCTTTTGTTCATTTGTTTTTTTAAGTGAATCCTCTACTGGATTTACACAGACTCACAACAGACAAAATTAGGAAGGCAATCTGAAAACATTTGAAACGGTTGCAAATATTTTAAATGGTTTTAAAATGAATAAACACTATGTTTACTCCGAGCTTCTAACACACAGAAGCATTCAGTGACACATAACAAATTCAGTGAAATAAATAATTGTCCTCATAAATTAAAAGGTGTAAAGTTTTTCAATCAGCTTTGTGGTTACCTGCATAGATTACCATACTAATCAATGTTTTCTTTAATAAACTTAGTGTTGCCCAACTATAAAGCTAAATAAACTTTCAAAACTTTCAACTAAATTAATTGAAGTAAAAGAACCTCAAGCCCAAAAATTTTTCAATCTTACCACTTTGTGTTCTTCTTCTGCAACAACATGAATGTCAAAGTGTTCAATATCTTTAAAATATATAAAAAAAAATTACAAACAAATATATTTAAATGCTTTTATACAGCTTATGAAACAAGCTCACCTCTTAGAATTCTGTAAGAACGCTAGGGCCATGAAAGTTCAACTCAGATAAGAGGAAATATGTGACACATGAGCACAGGTGCTTATACAAAGACCTGGAGTCTCTCCCTTTCCTGAGCTGCCCACATCAACACAGCACAGGCTTCAATAGCAATGACTGGAATGTGCCCAACCAAGCCAAGGAGCACCCATGAAAAGAAAGAGTTTACAGAGCTGCATGCCCATATCTGAGACTATCCCTGACCTGTTTCACTTCCCAACACAAACACCCCTCACAGTCCTTTCCCACACAAAACTCCTGGAAGTTATCCATGGCTGGCCTGCATGAGAAAGGCAACATTCACCCAGCAGATGTTGTGTTTCTGATTTAGCTCTGTCCACCTAAGTCCACCTACCCAAGGTTGGTGTCTAGCTCAGGGAAGAAGGGCCTCTCCAAGGGGATGGAAAAGAGATCTCACTTTATAATAAGAAGGAAAAACACAGTCTTTTCCAAGTGTCCATCTTTATCCACTCCCTGCCATGACACTAAGCTGAACATGCAATGTTAGCTGAATCCAAGGAACTATTGCTCTAGTCTTGTCCTACTTCCCATGTTAAAGACATCTTTCAGTCAACTGATTTGCTCTGAATTTATGTAGGCAGCTATAAGCAGTCTATTTTAGCTTTTTTAGAAATAAAGATAACTGATGAATGCAAGAGCTAAGCAAGAAATCATAGACAAAGATGGCTATTCTGTTAACATTGAAAAGAATCTGGTAAATTATACAGTTTTTGAAAGACCTTTGGAATACCTAGAATAACTCACACCTTTCCTTTTCCTTTTTTTTTTTTAACCAATAGAAGTCTACCAAAAATACAATCTATAAAAATCATCTTGAAGTAAAAGAATGACATTGTACTTTGAAAATATTAACTCACATTTATCTTCTGAAACTAGCAAGAGACGACTTTCTCTAGAAGCATTTCTGCCTTCAACTGGATAAAGAAACTATACAGAAAATTTCACAAAAGTAAGTAAAAACCAAAGTAGTTTAGAACACTCATCTAAAATGTTTTAGGGTGTTTTTAGCTGGATATTTAAGTATTTTTAAATTAAATCAGACACACTAATTATAATTAATAAAAATATCTATTATTACAAACTAATAGTCACCAGTCACTATAATTGTGAACTTTGGAAGACTGAAGAGAAATAAAAAAGCAGCCTTCATTGTTGGAGAAATATTCTATACCAAACATTTTATGGAGTTTTATTTTTTATTTCTCCAAAGAAACAGGGGGACATTATCTCTGTAACAGTTGCAAGATAACATGAGATATTTCTGCACTAAACCATGTTTTCTCTCTAGCATAGCAGATTTAAAAGGCTTATCTTTAGATTAGTTGAATACTTTACCTGTACTCGAACACAGCTATCCACAGCCTTTAGGACTCTCACATTATTAATGGGATGAATTTCAATTAGCAAGGTTAAGTACTTGGATACTGCAAAAAGAACACGTTTTAGATAACATTCTTTTATGTACACAAGTTTGATTTCTAAACAGAAGTTACGTGAGAAAGAAAGCAAAAAGGTACAATATTTAAAACAGTATTAAAAAAATCCACTTGCAGTACCTGACTGTAAGAGCTGACTTGCTTTTTCTTCCTCTGTATATTGACAGAAGCTGACTGCTGTGGGGGGAGAAAACACCAACACAACCACAGTGAGTGTGCATACTTGACATTAATCTTAATAAACATCCTTGAAGAATGAGCATCACAATTCTTTTACCAAAAACACATATGTTAAAGGAACATCAGAAGCTCTTTTAGAAGTAGCAGGTATACACAAATGCAGGAGGAGAAAGAGAACAAAGGGGCAGTGTGCCTTAGATGTTTTAATAAAACAGCAATATTGTCACAGCTGTGTCTTTATGTTGTTACCTACATTATCTGATGATGGATGCACTGAAATTCATAAACTGCTGTGGGCAACACATAGGTCAAAATAGATGTAAGTAATTCTAAACCCAAATGTATCATCCTACTAAACTAAATCTTTACCAAGAAAATTTAATGATAAAACACATATTTACCCAATAAGGTCCTTTCATTGTTGATTGAACAACTTATTATGTGCAAATTCTTCTCAAACATATAGAGGTGCTACAGAGAAATAGAGTAATGTTAATAACTATGCTTTTTCAAATCCCACAAAGGAAACTATTTAATTACTTCTCCTTAGAAAAATACTGCTGTCCCACAGTTTTTATCTTTTCATGCCCAGAAGAACCACATTTCAAGCTTCAATTATAACAGTTCTCCTTTTTCTCATGTTTGTTTTTCACTGGTTCTTTTGAGCTCTATGTTGCCACTAGAGCAGCACAGCAGACTTTTATGTAAATACAAAATTTCACTCATTTCATCCTATTACGGGGACACCTTCAAAAACCTGGTATCATTATTTTAGTTACTGAATTGCAGTATGTTCAGTTTTAGAACAAAATAATCTCTTAAAATGGTATCACTGAACAGACCAAGAATATACATATAAAGAAAACTCCAAACATTTATTTCTTGGCACATATGTGCAAGGTGAAGAGAAGTGGAAAGAACTTGTTGTTTAGAAATGAAGATTGCAGACATGATGCTTCACTACTCTCACGTCTTTCAGATGTTCTGCAATGTGGTGCGTTTTAATACTACTGAGAATCATTCCAATACTTTCTCCGGTATCTTTTCTGTTTCCAACAAGGATATGCTTCTTAAAGACATAACATACTGTGTGGCAAAGCATCAAAATCTGAAACACTACAGCACTGTCATCACCAGAGAGAAACCTGGTATTGCTCTCACCTCATTTTGTTTAGTTTGAAGATCATACAATCCAATGTGAGTGCTTCTCTGATTTCCCTATGGATGGAAACAAATTAGCTCTAGCAATATAAATATACAGAAAGTTAAACACTGGTTTGTTTTTTTCCTACCTGCCTGTTCTCCCTGCCCCTTGGCACACATCCTCACACACTTCCCTGTCCTATATATAACCAGGCAGTTGGTTATCTAATTCCAAGAAAGCAAATTCTAATTCCAAGAGAACAAAGATTTATTTTTTCCTTTTAGAACTAACACATGGGGTAAAGCTGAAATGTGGCAAATCCACAGCCCACAAGCCATTGCATAAACCAAATGCCACTCTCCCACTTTGCTTCTAAACTGGTTTTAGTTGCCGGCAACAGGGCCAGGAAAAGAGATGTCTGTACAAGAATCAGTAGGGATGCTCTGGCCCCTGGAGATTTAAAGCTGGTATTCCAAACCTCACCAACTTGGTGGGTCATTACTCCAAAAGGGAGCACAGAAACATCAAACATCACCAAAAATCAGCTCCCAGTGGTCTGGCTGTAGCCTGGAAAAATAATTTCAAGAAGTGATTGTTTGAAGGCTAAGTATTTTATAAGCTCACCCTTAGCCTTCTGCCTTTGAAGAGTAACATAATACATATCCTTTCTATTATCTTATCATATTAATTATCTTATTGATAATTAATAAACAACGATTTTGTTGGGGCACTTACAAATGTTTGGGGCTACAAATCAAAACTTTACTACTTCTTAATTTTCACCATACTTAAATTTTCCAAATGTATTAAAAAAAGAAAATTCTGCTTTGCAGCATATACTGGATAGCAAATCAAGCTGATGTGTATTAACGTTCTCTGGGTATAGGCACTAAATTGCTAAACTACTGAAATTAAATCCAGCCACACAGGCTTCCACTTCCACAGTGAGCTTCATTGTTTTTAACAACTGCTTAGGGGGAGAGGGGAGAGATCTGTGGTTATTTACAAATTTATGGCATTTTGCCTTGTGAAGTTGAAACAAAAGCCTGAGTATTCGCTTCCTAAGGGGTCTATTTCTGAGTGTCTCATTATTGTTGTGGCAATGACAAAAGTCTTTGACTTCTGATTTAAACTAGGAAAACAAAATGTCTTTATATTAAGACACAGGCTCCAGGCCTCCTAATTTAAGATTAAGCAAGTGCTTTCACAAATAACTATATTTTTTCAAGTGTGTCTGAAATGTTAAGACCATCTTACTTAGATATGGAAAAATACACTTTACAAGACTGGTAACAGAACTACATCAATGCCCATAAACTAGGACAATTGTTTTCATGTGGACTCTGAAGATTCTTTCATTACTTTACAAATAAAACTCACTTCTGTCAAAAATATCTTCCTTTACACTAATTATTAATGTCACAAAATATAGACACTGTCAAAACTAGAGTACAACATAATATTCCAAAAAAAGCTTTAAAATAAAATTCAGTGTCCACCTTCCCCTGGTTTCACACAGAATACACTTGACTGTCTCTCACTTAGAAGACAAAGGCTGTTTTCTATTTGTGTCTATTGGGAAGCAAGCTAGGCCAGCTCAGTCTAGTTTACATCCTCCACACCATCCACCTTCTCCCAAAGAACAAGATACAAGTGGTCAGTTCCCTAAGCTCCACCAACTGTTCTGACTAGGACCCTACAGACTGCAGAGGGAGCTTAGACAGGCAGGCAGGCAGACACCTACATTTAGATGTGTGAACCTTGAGCTACAACTCATCCCTTGTGAAGAACATACAAGGCAGTTAGACTGTCAGAAGCCCAAAAAAGCTTAGTGTGAGATTCCACAGGTGCTAGAAAGCACCAACACCACACTCACAGAGTACCAGATCTCCTGCTGAGCTACATGGCTACTTGCATTAAGTCTTCTAGAGTCTGAAGCAATGAAAAAAACCCCAAAATTTGACACACTCTTTAGAGTTGTTTTTATGGTTACTATTGTCTTGTACAGACTCCCCTCCCTAAGCTTGCACTAAAGGAAACATCCACCCACAGTGAAACCATATTAAAGTTAAAGCCTTGATGAAGGCCTCACCTCTTCCCTTAACCCTAGGGGAGCTGGAGAGTTTTAGCATTGTTGAGCCAGAGGGGAAAGCACCCTTACTCTACTGAAGCTCATCTCATATGTGTACTCCTCAAGAAGCAAGATCCTGGAGGATACAGCTGGATCTACAGACTCCTCTGAGCTGCACAGTCAAGAAGCACAGCTTGTCTCATCAAACAAACAATAAGAAGACGACAAAGTTTCACATTGTAAAACCATTAGAAAACCCACTTGGAAGTAAAACTAAAAACATACACCATGGAGAGCAGAATCCTATGTTAAGAAGCCAGTTCTAGATACTTCAAGACATCAAATAAACAGGGGAAACTTCAGACTACTTGCAATAAAGCGTTATGGATGAATCTTAAAGAAAGGTATATGCAGAAACAGTGTTAGATAAATGGCCTCTTAAGACAATTTAGTATAAAATATTTAACTAAAGCACTGCACATGAATTTAATAGCTAGGCTTCACTGAAAAATTTAGGGTAAAATTATGCGCTGCTTATGAAGTGTTTTAAAGAAATTGCATTTCAGCATGGGGAGATTCTGGGCCAGCAAAAAATCAAGGGCAAAAACTCTATGGAATTAATCAGGCGAGTACTTTACTCTTCATTTCATCATTCTTAACCTTTGTCTGAAGTGGAGATTGGTATTTTCCCACTGCCCAAACCCCCCAGATTGTAATCAGTCATATTTCCATGTCCTAACACATACTGCAAAAAAACCCTAAACTACAAGAACTCAATTAGATTCACATACAATATTATTCTCAATTTTGTTTTTATTGAATTCCAGGATGGACTTACCTTCCAGGTATAAATAACTTTTCCATTTCTTTCAACATTTACAACGTAGAGTGCTGATGAATTCTCAGAAGTGTCTGAAATAAGAAGTACAAAAAAGCACAGGATTTTCATTTCAGCTGTTTAATCCTATAATTTATGCACACTTTAAGCAAATATGCTAAATACATTTTTACTTGTAAATACATATTTGCATACGCCAAAATTGCTCCCTTCTGGAAAAAGAGAGAGTACTTCTTACACCATGATTTAAATCTGATAAACTTCAACACAGGTAGTTAAGGAACATCAAAACATGCAAGAAAAAAATTATTTTTGTAAACTCCTACCTCTTCATTATAATTATGATTCTAATGATCACTACTTTTTATTATGAAAACAGAATGTGTTTTTTCAAAGAATAAAAAAAAAAACAAATCAAACCAAAATTACCCCCTTGCATTTATTCACTATACACAAAATGGGGTTCAAACAGTTAAGCCATACTCCAGTCCTCTGGACACTACAGAACTAGCCCAAGGAAAATATCATTTGCTCACACCTTTTCAGCATCTGAAAGGAAAGCCTGAAAATAAACTACATCTTTAGACATTAGTTCTACAGCACCAACACCACCACTTCTGGGTATAGGCCCCATTCTTAGCCCCTCATCCACCTCCAAAAAAAAAGAAATAAAGGAAAAACCCCACCAAAATCCAAAGAACCACAAGACTAAATACCATATAGAGAGATATGCAACCTACCTACAAGTATAGGGAACTAAACAATGCAGGACACAAAATTATATGGAATGGGAATGAAAAAGTATGGTTAAAATGGAAATGAGCAGAAGCGAAGATGGACACAGAAAGAGAAGAGCATATCTGGACAAAGCAGTACAAATTAGAATGAAAACCACCAGAAAAAAGGATAAAATATTGTACTTAAGTAGAGAAAAATGCATGCTTCCCTGATGCTACTTTTATGCTTTCTAATCACCATAGACATCAAAAATATGTTTATCTCTAATGGAATTTTTACTAGAAGTGGAAATTTTGCCCTTAGTAAGGTTGAAGCTGTATGATTGGTCTCAATTTTACAATAAAGGTGACCTGCAGTTCAGTAAGCATCAACATAAAGAACTCTCCATAACCCTCTGCAAGCATTTAGTCAAGTCTGACACTATTTACTTGGCAGTTATCACAGAGTGTTGAAAGAAGGAAGACACCGAGTGAAACTTAGTTTAACAAGCCTGATACTATAAACTGGCTTGTACAGCTTGCAGTGATAAGAAAAAAAAACTGTTTTCAAGCATTATCAGAGGATAGTAAATTTTCCATTTTGTTGTGGGAGGACAATGAAAACCCTTCTTGTACATTGAGCAACACATCGCTTTCTATTGGTTTCAGATCACTCGAAGTACACTACAATACACTACACTACACTACAAGTACACTACATTAGGGCTAGATGGTGACAACTGGGAGAGTCTAAGATAACAAAACACTCTCTTTTTTTTATCCACAGCTTTCTGGAACTTAACAACCACCTCAAACTTTCAAGATGCATATTACAGTCTCCACATTTTCTCATACAATACTTCCTCAGCATAGAATTTTGGTAGAGAAGAAGTTCCATGAGCAATCTCCATGTCAATGAAACACAGACATCTTAAAGGTGCTTAAAAAGTTCTGTGACAGAAGAAAGTTTCTCTTCTGAAGAGAACAGTCAGTGGGAACATGGAGGCAAAGAAGTGGAAATGGTCTCTGCCCTTGGAAAGTCCTGCAGTAAAACCGTGCACAGAGAATTACAACTTCTTCCTCATGTCCACAGCTGAGACAAGCAGATGAAGGGCTGCAAAAGAACCAGCCCAGCCTGCCTTCCCAGCACACAGCTTTTACCAACATAATCAGGAGAATGCAGAGTTTGATTTCCTGAAGGCCGTTATATGCAGCTCATACCAAATTAAGTGGAATAAAGACAACGAGGCTGGTTCACTTTGCTTGCCGCTCCCTTCCTATCACCACAGCTACTCCCAGCTCTCATGCAATTAGCAGTTCTCACATGCTAGCAAGTGCTTTCAAGTCCTTAGGAAAGAAAATAATAAATATGAATAAGTAACATCTGAAAACACTGACACAAAAGTACCATGGCTCCTAAAAATTACTTGCTTTCTGTGATTAGATATTTCTTTGATGTTTAAATTAATCTTTTCAAATCCCTACCTCCCACCTTCACATTCCTAATGACAGCACTGCATGAGGGGGAAGTCACTATACACAGATAAGTTAAAATGCAATACAGCAAAGCTGATATTTGATCAGATGCACCCTCCAAAGTAGATTCTTACGATTCTGTATTACCAGGGACATTACTGAATGCAGGCTCATTTTAACATTTTAAAAGACTAAATACAATTTCCTCCTTCCCAAACACAAGTCAGTGCCACTTTGAGACCCTTATGCCATTAACATCTATATTAATTTATCTCTTAATTCATCACTGATGAACTGATAAATTTATAGATTAACCAATTATGTGTGGAGAATTTCAGCATTTTAACTCAAATCCCTCCAGTATGCTTTTCAATAATTGTTCAGTAAATGTAGAAAATGTGAAGTATTTTATAACGGATCTTTTTAAATGATGGCTTGGTAAATCATTCTATTATTCTCCACGCCGATACTTTCTGGTTTGTAGAACCAGAAAAAAATTTATGAGTCTATTTGATAACAGCCCCTCAATGCGGGAAGTAAGTTAAGTATTTTAAGTAAAGTAAAAACAACTGAAGGTGTTTCATGTTCATCACACTTGCATATCGATGGTATTTCTACTGAAGCAAAAACTATATATTATTATTATTATTATTATTATTATTATTATTATTATTATTATTATTATTATTATTATATTGATATTAATATTAATATTTATTATTATATTTTTATTTTTTTATTATTATTATTATTATTATTATTATTATTATTATTATTATTATTATTATTATTATTATTATGTTTTCATCAGATTCTGAAAAGCAGAACTGAGCCAGCTGCTCTGCAGATGAATAACAAGCAAAAAGCCACAGTGCCAAGAATACAGGAGGTCACTTTTTTCCAACCACTACCCTGAGCACTCGCTATGCTGGCGATCGCACGGTGCCGTGACAGCTGACGCTGCATCTAATTTTAAACTAGCACTCGTTTACCAGACACACCAAAGTGTTCAGGCTGTGGGGTTTTTCCTCCCAAGAAAGGGGAGTAGCGTGGGAGAGGGAGTAATGCTAACACTTTTTTTTTTTCTTTTTTTTTTTTGGCGGAGGGGAGCGGTGGAGGGGGAAGGGCGAAGGGGAGAAAAAAAAAAGAGAAAGTCCCCAACGTGTGAAGAAGTAGGAAGAAACAAGCTGTGGAGTGTAGCAGATGTGTAGAAGTGTTTTCGGTATGTCAGAAATTCCTTGAGAACAGCAAACTTGTCTACCTTAAGTCCCCCGGCACCCGAGG